TCTCCTACGACTGGTCCTTAAACCATGCTGTCTAATCACACCCTTCCCTTGCTCAGACTAGTTCATCTATTAAGAAGGTCCTCCCCATATCCATCACCTCCAGCCAGCTAAATCTTACACAGCCTTCAAAGCACAGCTCGGTTGTCACCTCATCTAGGAAGTCTTCCAGAACTCTCAGACTGGGTTGAATGTCTCCTCTGGGCTCTTACAGCTCTCCACTTTCTCCATTTTAGAGCATTCATCACACTGATTGTCCATGCCTATTCATGTGTCTACTAGACTGTGAGCCCCTGATCAGTAGAAGTCAACCCTTTCATCTTTATGCCCCCAGGGCTCAGCACAGGGCCCAACACAGAAACAAGTGCTCAACATTTGCTGACCACCCACATCACTATACTCACACTCTTTTTGGTCCTTGAATGTACCATGGTGCTTCCCACCCAAGGCCTTTGCTCTTGCTTTAGTTCCTGAATCCTAGAACACTCCCCACCTCCACCAACCTCTCCTACACCTACCCACCCCTCACCTCTCAGACAACTCCTACTTTTCATCCATTCAAAAAATATTGAATGCTACCAAGTGCCACCAAGCAAAATGTGACAATGTAAAAATGACAAAGTGCCTGTCCTCACAGAACAGAGACCAATAGGGAGACATACATTAATTTATAATGAAACCATGTTATGAGCTAAGAAAGGAAAACACTGGGAGTTCTGAAATAAAAAATAGAGACCAAATTTAGTCTTAGAAATCACTGAGGATTTCACTAAGGAAGTTTAAGATGAGGCAGATGTGATATGCCAAGTATACGTGGTGGTTCAGAGGTTGGAAGGAACACGGGACACTCAAGGAAGTGCAAAGATTGTGAAGAAAGCAAGGAGCATGGCATGAGGTGAGGCTGGAGATGCCATACTGTACACCACCTCTGTGAGTCATATTAAGGATTCTGAACTTTATTCTAAGAGTAGTGAAAAGCCATTGAAGGGTTCTGAACAGAAAAGAAAAATTAGATCCTCATTTGCATAAGATCACTCCAGCTGCGGGGTGGACAACGAAGGGTACAAGAGTGACAACCAGGGGATTGGTGAGAAAGCTCTACAGTAATCTTGGGAGAGAGATGATGGTGACTAGCTTGGACTAGGGTGGTGGCAGTGGAAATGGAACAAAAAATAGATTTGCAATGTAGTCAGGAGCCAAACAGCCAGAACTTAGTGGCTGATTAGCTGAAGGAAAGAACAGAAAGAATCAAATATTTTAATTGAATAATTCATTAGATGGTTAGGTGTTTAATGTCTGTCTCCCTCTCTGAATGATAAGGACAGGGACCACGTCTTGTTTGATTCTTTGCTGTATCGCCAGCATAGCACCAGGCACCCAGTAGGCACTCAACTAGTGTTTATTGAACAGATGGATGGATGGATGTGTGGCTGGCCAAGCAGGCTGTCTCTCTCAGGGAAAATGGGTACCAGCTCACCTCTGGGCATCAGGCTGCGAGATGGCATTGACAATGGCCTCCACACTACTGTCAAAGAGCTCTGAGTCCTGCAGAGCAGTGAAGGCAGCCTGAATGAGCGCCTCGCAGTCCTGCAGTGGCACCTCCAGCTGCACCCAACTGGAAAAGCACTTGAGCACCTTCTGACGCACACAGCTGGGTGAACTGGGCTGCTGGAGAAGCTGCTCCAGCAACGGGAAGACAGCCCCACACTCCACTGCCAGGCTGGCCCGCACCAGGCCTTTGCGATATTGGGGCAGGCGGCTGGTCTGGAACTCCTCGGGCAACACAGTTAGCAGCTCTAGCAAGGCCAGGCAGCGGCCCTGGCCATCCACCGGTGAGTCCTCAGCCTGGAAGAGCCGTACCATATCTGCCACAGCGCATGGCCAAGCATCAGGCATCATGCTGAGAGCCAGTGAGGCCAATGCCACACATAGCCGGGTCAGCACAATCTTGGAGCCACTGGCAAAGCAAGTGATCTGGGTGAAGAGCTGTGCCTTTAGACTTTCATACTGGTCAGTGGGGATGTCGCTCCAGTAGCGAGAGATCTTGATATGCAGGGCACTGGCCCCAAAGTACTGGATCTCAGGCACCTTGTCCGGCTGCAGTAGCTGCCAGCTGAAGTGCCAGGCCTGTGGGGAGACCTGGGCCTGCATCAGCCACTTCTGAGCCAGGTTCTTGTTCTCAATGTTGGGGTCATAGTAGAGCTGGTGCAGCGCCTGCAGGACAGCACAGGACTGAGCGGGTGCTGGCCATTCTGGATCCTGCCACAGCCCAGACAGAGGACATGACTGGGTCCTGTAAGACTGCAATCTCTTTCTGACCAGGGGATTTTGAGCAGGAAGGGATAGCTTAGGGCTCTGCAGTGTTTTCTAGGTCTGGGGTCCTGCTGATATCTTGAGAACCTGAACTTTGCCCACATTCCACCATATCCTTTTATAGCAAAACATTATGGGTTCAGAGAGTGAACCTCCAGAGGGAAAGCAGAAAAAGAGGAGGCTGAGATCCCCAAAGGTGAGGCACTTGAAGTAGGGAGCAAGGCCCAGGTGGAAGGAATGACTCTATAGGGATGAGGCTAAGCCTGAGAAGAGCATGGAACAGCCTAAAGGGCCCTGATCCTCCAGGCACAGCTGCTGCCATCAACCCAACGGCTCCATTCAGCAACCCAGGATCACCCCTAGGTCACTCCAGATGCTGGCACCAAAGTCAGGGTGAAATCTGAGCAGGACTAAGACTTTGCCAGGCAGCCCAAGAACAGAGCCATACTGGAGGGAGGGTGAGAACACCCCTGAGAGAGCACATGTGAGAGTTCAAAAAGCTGGTCCAGAGAAGTCTTGGCCTGCAGCCTTGGCAAATGCCTAGCCTGGAGCTTTCAACTATCCAAATCCCCAGGGTCCCAATTCCACTGGGACCTCACAGTAGAAAACAGCAGTTTATCTCCCTGGAAGCACCAGGAACAGTGTGCCACCATGCCAACACTGCCCAGCCCCAGGGGATGGATGAAGGAGAACAGGACTCTGACCCCCCCCAAAGCAGACTCCATCCAAGTAGGCTTAGCTCTACTTGTACCCCTGACAACCGTTATAGCCACTGTCCCTTGTTTGGCCCCTCAGGGAAGAGAAGCAAAAAGGGATGCATCTTCACCATTGGGTATGACAAACAGGGCTCAAGAATAACAAATGAATATCTGCAACTGCAAGAAAGGGTGCCCCATTTCCCCACTCATCCCAGGTAGGGGTAATGTGTGTCTGCAGTCCAGGCCTCTGGGAACAGAGCCCAGGAAAAAACCAGACACGCAGTTAAAAAAAGGCAGACCAGGCAATGGGGGAAGCCTGGGAGGGCCATGGCAGGAAGCTATGGGGCAGGTGAGTAGGGAAGGACCCTGAAGCTGCCAGCAGGACCAAACCCCTTGGATCCAACACAGAACAAAAGGGGCCAGCCCTACTCCTGCCTGCCAGGAGTGGTCTGGCCTCCATCCAATAAAAGAAGGACTCCCATTCCAAGGAAGAGAGAAAATATAACCCAGATTGTTTTATTGCAATTTGTTCTCTGAGACTCTGGCTCAACAAAACAGGTCCAGGATGGTTCAGCATCACTATGGCTCCTGGGGACTGAGTAGGTCTCCTGGATTCCTGGTTTCTTACTGCGCTGCTCATGCAGTTCCCTTGGAGCTGGAGAATAGCCAGTCTGGCTGGAGGTCTAAGCCATCAGCACCCTGGAGGGGCCATCCCAAGACTTTAGAGTATATACAGATGACCAAGGTCTAAGGAAGTCCAGAAATAGCCCATTAGGACAACCTTAACACTGCTGTTCTGCCTTCCCAGAGAGACAGCAGATGCCAGAGACAGCAGATGCCAGGTGCTCTGGGGGCACCATCCCAGCAGGCACCCAGCCCAGGCCTAGGCTCTGGCATGTGTCAGTTCCCAGAACTTCTGCTCTGTCACTGGAGTACCCACCCCAGGGCCCTCATACCTTCTCCACGTTCTCCACAGTGAAGTCCAAGGCTGGTGCTGCTCCAGCCCCTGCAGCCCCCGGCTGCTCCTCCCGCCGCTCCATCTTTGCTCCCTCCCCAGCAGGGAGGTAGACCCTGACCTGTCTCCTGCCCCAGCTCCTCCACTGCTGGCCCCCTGCTAGACCCCGGCTTGAGTGCCCAGGGAGTGGTGGGGTGACAGGGGGCCCTGGGCAGGCATGGCTGCCGACGCCTCCCCACCTCGGTTGGGGGGTGGGGGGGACTTGACAGAGACCAAAAGGTGTTCTCTTAGGAGACCCACTGAGGGGGACTCCGAGGAGGAAGCCGTCAGCGAGGAATTCGCAGGCCGGGGTCCTAGTGATAGGTCACGGCACTGTCCCCAGAATCAATGAGGGAGTCATAGGGGAGAGAGACTTGCGGGGAAAACTGAGCCCCAAGCCCTTGAGAGGTCACAGGGTCGATGGCCTGTACCCACAACACCCTTGTCTGAATGAGCTCTCGGGTCCTAAGAGGAGGTCACCGGGGTGGGGGAGTCACGGGGACGAGAGCCCTTCGCGGTTACGGAGGTGTCCAACGAAGCGCGGGGGTGCAGCTTCACGAGTCTGGGGCGAGGAGTCCGTAGAGTTGAGGGGCTGTGGCAGGTCCCCTCCGCACGGCCTGGCCCGCGATCCTCTCACAGGCTAGCTCTGGCCCTGCTACCGCCGCTGCCTCCGCCCCAGTGACTGACAGGCGAACCGGCCCGGTCCCGACCGGGAGGGGACCTCAGCCAGTTGCGGGCTGCCCCAAGCGCCTGTCCCTGGCACCGCTAACTCCCGTCCCCCGCCCCCCGCCCCGGCCTGGCCCGGCACAGCCCGGCACGGCCCAGCGGAACTAAGCGGAAACTCATTCCGGGCCCCTGGCCCTTTCCTCGCGCCAGCCCGCGCGTCCCCGAGCAGGCAACGGAGCGGCGCGCCTCTCGAGGCCCTTGTCAAGCAAAGGCCCCGCCGCTATGCACCCTGGGAAATGCAGTCCATATTGGGCCTAGCAGGAGGGCGGCGCCTTGCGGCGGAGTCTGGGAGCACGTGGGCTGGGGACCCGCGGAACCAGGCTAACCCCAGGCTTACCGCTACCGTCGGGCATCCGAGTCAGACCGGCGGGAGGCGCTGCGGAGCACCTTCCTGGAAGAATGCTACTCAAGGGGCCGGTGAATGCAGCTGGGAGCCCAAGCTGGAGGGTAAGGTGTGTGTTGAGGGGTGGGCGGGAAGAGACAGGTCACCCCGGTGCTCTGCTGGGGGCGCATCCTGAGGCCCAGGAAAGGGGTTGTCTAGGAAGAAGGAGTTAGCATTACCCTGAGAAAAAAGAGGGCTTGGCGCCCCTCGGGAATAAAAAAGGACAGCTCTCGGGACCACCCAGTGAGCAACCAGGAAGGCACATACCATGGACAGTGCTCGGAGACTTTCCTAAGGTTTTTGGAAGCAACTCCTCTTTATGAGTGATTAGAACAAGAATAGCTCACGTTTAAGCGCTAGGAATAATACTTTGTATGCCTGAGGTCCAATTCTCTTAACAACTCTGAGGTATTTTTTCTTCAGTTGGTCATTTTGTCCCTGAACGCACAGCTAGGGTAACAGAGACCAGCCACAGATCTGGTCGGCCACAAACCCCAGCAGTGCCTACCCATAACCTCTCATTTGTCTTGCCATCTATGCCAGAAGGGAAAGAAAAGAATAAAAAAGGAAAAGGACCTCTGTTTTTGTGTTCAGTGGAGAAAGCTGGCTGTGGCTTTCTCAAGCCACTGAGGCCTGAGAAGGGGGATGCAGGCTTCCGTGAGGAGGAGAAGCTTAATCTGAGCTTGAGGAATAGAGGCTGGAGAGGAGGGGGCTTGATTAGCTGTTAAGCTAAGTCCAGTGGGAATCTAGTCATCCAAGAAATCTTTATTAGAAAGTGTTTCAAGTACGACTAGTAGTTTTTGTTCAGTTTAAGGGCATATATGTGGGGTGAGGAAGGGAGAGGAATGAGTAACGAAGATGAGGTTGGAAAGACAAGTGGGAGCAGTAGACTCTTGAAGGAGTTTAGACCTTATCCTAAGTGTAATGTGAAAACTTCTGGGGTTCCAAGTGGGCAATGATGACTGGATTTGCATTTTAGAAAAATCCGTCAGTAGTGTAAATTGAAAGACGGAAGAGTAGAGGCAGGGGAGATTAAGAAGGAGGAAACAGGAAGCCCCAGATAAAGTACTGAGTCTAGATCTGTGCCTAGGGATGTGGAATGCCCTGGCTCCGATGCTGACTGGAGATTTCACCATGGAAGGTGGGGAATGTGGGAGAGTTAAGAGCACAAATTCTGGACGTAGGCCTGTGTTCAAAATCTTTCTCTGCCTCTTTCTAGCCATAAGACCTTGACTTCTGAAACTCTCTTTTTAAAAAATGAGAACAGTAATTCCTCAAGAGAAGGACAAGCTGAGATGGTTTATGAATGGGGCTCAGCCCAGAGGCCATAACTTAATCAATGTGAGTTTTCTTCTTGCTTCCAGTCCTGGGCTTCTTCTTGAGCCTGAGGTTTCCCTGCAAGGAAAGAAGCCAAGTCTCAACAATAAGCTGCTGAACATGCTTCACAAACACTGCGAAGGATAGATGGATTGCCGTAGGCCCTGGGGAGAGTTGGGTGCCAAACCAAAGGGGACTTCCAGGAGAGGAGGATGGCAATCCAGGATAGCTTGAAGCCAAGTCAGGAATGAATCTTGCAGAAACTAGTCACAGACAGGTTCTTCTCTCCTCTGAGGGATGAGAGTAAGACATATTGGGGCCAGAACCCGTGACAACTCTAGGACGGGTCTCCAAATTCAGGAGAAAGCGAACCACTAGCAATCCATGTCCATGACAAATTAACTTCTCAGTATGAAGTTCTCAGCCTTCCAAAACAGTGTGAGTTTGGTGTGCAAAAACAAATGAAGGCCTGCTTACAGTTAAGAATTACTATGGGAGGTTTTTCCCTTTCCATTTAGCACCAAGGTTAAATGCAGGCAGTTATTTTTGTAATGCCCTGGTTTGAGGGAGAGGGGTTAGATAGCAGAGGAGCAGGTTTATTTCTAATTCACCCTTAAGTGTGGGCATAGCCCTTTGGGGTCCTGAAGTTTCCAAGTAGGCTTTCCACCATAAGCTCAGGGTGCCCTTACCACCCAGTGCCCCAGTTTGCCTGGTAGGGACAACGCCCTCAAAGTGAAAGCCGGCTACTGAGCTTTGCATGCCTTGGGGTTTCCTGCTTTCACTTAATTTTTTGGCCTATTTTTTATGTGTTTGTCAGCTCATGGATGCATTTAATTTTTTTAAATATCTGTTTGTCTAGTATTTTTAGTTGTTTTCAGTAAGAACGTTAGCCTGAATCCCTAGGCCCCTGTGTTGCAAGAAAACCCAACAGTTTCAGTCCTCATGTGACTTGATTCTTCTGCTGCATTTGGCCCTGTTGACTGTTCCCTCCCCCTGTTCTGCTTTGTTTTTTTCTGCCACTCTGACCACTCCTGTTTGGTCTCCTCTCCCTATTCCTTAAATGTCCGTTTCTCCAGTCCTCGGCTTCTGTCTCTCTCCTCTTATTCCTTGAGATCTCACCACTCCATTGGCTTTCAGATGTGATTCCCAGATCTCTCTGGCCCAGACTATTCTGAGTTCCAGACCCTCAGATTCAGTGGCTACTGGCCTCCTTGCCCTCTGAAGGTGTCGCAAGCGCCTCAAGTTGAACATGTACAAAACCAAACTAATGACCTCCTCCACACCTTATCCCAATCATGTGCTAAAAATACAACATCCTTTATGTTCCTTACCAGTCACCCAAGCCAGACTTCTGGAAACTCCCTTTCACTAAGCCCTCACGACCCACTTATCACCAAGTCTTGTTTACTGTGCCTCACATCTCTGCTGTCTCTCCACGCTGTTTCTGCCCTGGATCATGGTGCCAGCATTTGTGGCCTGAACATCTCTGACTATAGCAGCTCTAACTGGCACCCCCTGCCTTACCCCTTTCTGTCCATACTAGACACAGTGATCCATACTAGACAGCCAGCGATTCCACTGAAAATATCCTTAGCCAATCCTACTTAAAACTGTTCAGTGACTCCCCTCAAGACAATGTCTGAGTTTCTCAGTATAGTGTTCAAGGACCTTTATAATCTCTCTAGCCTTTTGTCTGGATAAGGGCCCTCTCCCAATTCTGCACGACATTGCTGCCTGTCCTGGGACACTCCCGGCTGTTCCAGGCTTCTGCCTTTGTTCATGCTGCTGCCTCTGCTGAGAAGGCTCTGTGTCAGGCTGGGATGATCAAGAGAAACCTCACAGTAAGCACACAGGATCGGTTAATAAAAGAATTCTGAACTGTAACAGGGGATCGAGGTAAGAAGTGAAGAGAACTCTAAAGAATATAGGGGTAGCAGAGTCCTAGGGCTGAGATAGTACAAGGAAGAGGCCCTCACCCCCAACCCCTGCCCAAGTATCAGACCCACACTCACCTTGTCCAGAAGGGTATGGTAGGTGAAAAGGATGAATTTAGAGCAGACAGGCAATGAAGACAATAAGGATAGCCAGTACAAGCCCAGTGTCCTTTGTCCACCTTGTGCAAATACTTCATTTGTCAAGTCTCAGTTCAAGAGCCACCTCCTCCATGGAAACAGGCCTGGCTCTTCTTCCCCTTCCCTCCAGGTAAAATTGATTTCTCTCCCTTTGTGAGTGTAGATTCCTCCCGACCCTGACATACCTAATTGTGCCCTAGTCTTACTTGTACTGGGGAACTTAACAATAGTTGATTGCATTTTTTGATTTACTTTTTTACCCCCACCCAGGGTTGCTAGAAAAAATACAGGATACCAGTTAAATCTGAATATCAGATAAAGAACAGTTATTTTTTGTATAAGTATAATAAGTCCCATTTATTGAGTGAGCCATACTTACCAAAGAAAGTATTTATTGTTTATATGAAGTTCAAGTTTTATTGGATGTCCTGTATTTTTATTTGCTAAACTTGGCAACCCTTCTCCCATCTGCAGCTCTAACTGTGGTCTGCTTGATGGTAGAACATGTTTCCAGCTGACCTCTGAACCCTGTAATATGGCTGTTAATGCTCAGTTAATGTTAAGAAAATAGTGATTTCTCTGGCTGCATGGTTGAGAAGGACCAGAAGGAGGTGAAACTGGAAACAGAGACCAGTCAAGATAAGCAATAAAACATCCCCCAAATTGTGAAGACTTCAACAGAACAGAGAAAAGGGGACGGACTGGCCAGATCTAAGGATTTGAGGACCAATGCAGAAGGGAAGTGACAAAACTCAAGGAGTCCAGGATGTTGCCCAAGTTTCTGGTTTGTGTCACTGGTTGGAAGTTGGTGTCATTTACTCAGGAGAGGACATGGGGGGAGGTTTGGAAGCTGGAGAGCAGAGAAGTTCATTGATGCAAGGCTCAGAGCAGATTAGAGAAGGATGGAGAATGGATCTGAAGAAACAATGAGAAGATATCCAGGGCAAATTTGTTAAGTATGAGGTTGCTGAAGATATGTAGATAGAAGTATTGGAAATATAGACTCGTAGCTCAGGAGAAAGGTCTAGGCTGGTGATTCAATGTGAGCTTCATCAGCATGGAGGTGGCACCTGAAACCTTGGGAATAAATAATTTTGCTCAGGGAGAGAGTCGAATGGGAAGAGGAGGCCTACAGCAGAGACCTGAGGAACACTTAAGAGGCAAAGAGAGGAAAAGGAACCTAAAAATAGTCTGGGAATGAGCAGCTGAGGGGTGGGAGAAAAGCCAGGAGAGTGTGGGATCGAGAGAGTCAAGGAAAGACAGGTCCTCAAGGAGAGCTGATAAAGTCCAGCACTTCTGAGTGTTCAAAGAACTAAAGACTGAGGAATGGCCTCTGGCCTTAGTAACAAGGCCTCCGGTGATCTCAGCAAGAGCTCTCTTGGTGGAGGAGGAAAGGTGGAAGCAGATAATATATATACATTTGCACTCAGTGTCAAGTTTGTTTATGCTGTGAAATATTTGAACAAGTTTAAATGCAGAGGGAAAAAAGATAATCTTCTTAGAATAGCAAAAGGTTGAAGAATGAGGAGGCTTGCAGGTAACTGAGACAAAGAGCCCTGATATGGGGTCCTGAGTACAGGAGGACATTTATAATAGTATCTAGAATGGGGCATGAAACCTCAAGGGCATGGACTCCTAAGGAATCTCTGAATGAGATTCAAGGTCTGTGTTTGTCAATTTCTGTGCCAGAGGTTTTCTCTGCACTTGGTGTTGGTGGGTGGGTGGGAGACACCTTGGTTTTCACCTGGTCCCCTAAGGACTCTACAACCCCAAAACAGGTTAAGAACAACTTCTGTAAGAAAGGTGATCTCACAGGGCAGAGATTCTCCTAGATCTTTTCTTGGATTTCTTGGCCTTCTACCCAACCTCTCCTTTTCAAGGTGAGATCTCAGTTAGACAGCCAGTCCACTGCTTGATGTGGTGCCTGCCTCTCTAGCCAGGGGGCATATGAAAGCCCAGGACAAGAGAGGAGGAAAGCCACTGGCAAGGGCAGGGGAGCACATGGAACCCCCAACCTTAATTCCTGGGTGAAACAAATCTAGAGGAAGCTTTGGGTGCTCCCTGAAGCTGGAAAAACTCATTTCAAAGGCTGTAGTTCTCTGTCTTGCAAGAGGTGGTAACTTGATACCCCTTTATAGGAGATCATACTTTAGTTCTGGGAAGACCACTCAAACAGACAATGAAGTTTTGCAAATATGAAAAAAAAAAAAAAAGAGGCTACAGTCAAAACTGGAGGTAACAGAGCCCCCTGTGGCCCACAGGAGTGAAAATGCCCTGCCTCGTGCAGTCATATGCCAGGTGACCAGGAGGCAGAGCAGTGCAGCTCTGCAGCTTGTTTCCTCTGGGGAACATAGCTTTTTCCTTCCCTCCCTCCTTCCCTCCCTCCCTCCCTCCCTCCCTCCTTCCCTCCTTCCTTCCTTCCTCCCTCCCTCCCTCCCTCCCTCCCTTCCTTCCTTCCTTCCTTCCTTCCTTCCTTCCTGGTATTTGGGTTGTTGTGAGCTGCAAATTTAGGCTAGTTCTTGTGGGAGTACACTCCTCCTGGAGAAGCTGCCATTTCATCCAGGACTTGGTGAGACATTGGGCACAGCCCAGAATGCACCCTTGAGTTGGGGGGACCCTACTCCCTCAAAAACTGGCAGCTGGGGAGTGTTGCGAGCCAGCACCTTTGTCTCGGGTTCTGACCTGGCTCTGTCACTGCCAGCACTGTTGGAGATGGCTTCAATCTATCTCCTTTAAGTCACTCTGAGAGCAGAGATCTCCACTGAGGGGCAGGGACTAGAGGGCTTGTGGACTAAGCCAGGCTTTCAAGTCTTTCCAGCAGGGCCTTCATGGAGCTGATGACCCTGTAATTGATCGAATGTACCCCTTCATCCTCAACCAGGCCCAGGACCTGGGCCTTCATGACTGCAGTATCTGACACTGGCGCCATTTTATTTTTTGCCAGGAGGGTACTTGGAGGCTGAGGATCCTGAATTAGTTTGAAGGCAGAGAGAGGAGCCAAGGGGGTGTTTTAGGGCAGCACAAGAGTGCCAAAGTTTTGGGAGCACCTAGAACTGGGGCAGGAACACAGAAGAGTGGCAGCACGGAATCATTTCTCCTTGACCCAGAATGCACACGGTCCTCAGAGAGCTCTGGCCAGCTCCTCCTTACTCAAGCCTGGCAAAAGGGGGCACCTGTGCTGAAAGCGGGCGGGCACTTAGGCCGTCTGGTAGGAGTTTGGTTAACAGTGCCAAATGCTCCTCACCCTCATGGTGCTCTCAGCCACCCTGGTTGTGCTCAGAGCTGCCAGATCAATCTCCAGCTCAGCCCTCTCTCTTCAGCTCTGGACCAGCACATCATTCCTCCCAACGGCCCCTCTGGATGTCCCACAGTTCCTCAGACTCAGCAGCCTTTCCAGTACATGTCCCAATATTACTTCCAAAGAAGAAAATCCTATAGGTCAAATCCATGGGACCCAGGAAACAAGGTTCCACAGGACATGTAGAAAAGCTCAGAGGGATTGCATTGACTTTCTGGAGATGACTCAGGGACAATGTGGAATGCCAGCGTGAGCGCTAACCTGTTCTTCCTTCCAGATGTAGGTGTGTACCTCTTAGCTCCTTGTCCTTTTTCATACTAGTTGCCAAATTGAATTTAAATAATTATTTCATTATTGTCTGTCTCTCTCAATTTAAGCTTAAAGTCAGGGGTCATGTCCCTTTCACTTCTGTACCCCTAGTGTCTACCCAGTATCTAACATATTATAGGCACTTAATATTTGTTGAATGAATAAATGAATATCCTTATTCAACACCCAAGGTGCACATTCCTCTGGGGGTCCTCAGCCCTTTCCTGGCTTCTTATCCCCTTGCTGCTCTGTGCTTTATTCCCCCAAGCCAGTATCCACTGCACTCTCTTCCCCACCCTCAGATGCTCTCTTGCCCTAGGCTGCTTCATGGAATGTGGGTAGTGAGTTCCCTATGCTGGACCATCTGCAAGCAGAAGCAGTGTACATACCTGTCAGGGTGCCCTGAAGGGTGGGACACTGATCAGTGGTGGGATGGGACAGTATGTAGGATGGGACAGTTTAATGGGATTGTCTGTGTCTTGACCCATTAAGCAAGGCCCCGAGGATGCCTGAGGTCACAAGGGTGGGGCTTTTTGACCCAGGTGCTGGGGACTGCACAGGAGGTTGTGAGCTGACCCACCGGCCTTGTGACCGCAACTTTGCCACCCACTCTGCCTGTGTCCCAAGCCCCCTATGTCCCAGAGCTGCTGGTGGGGACAAGCAGTTGGAGATCCAGGCCAGGTCTGTGATGGCTGAGTCAGCCTGAAGTGAGTGGGATGGTCAGGGTATGATCGCCATCCAGCTGCTTCTACCCATCCAGCCCCCCTTAGCCCAAGGAAAGGATCTGACAAACCACGGAAGTAAATAAATAACTTAGAAATAATAAATAGGCGTCCAGTTCCCATGAGTGAGCGCAAGGTCCACACTAGCACAGGCACTTCAACAACGCAACTGCAGTATGCGTCCTCCATTCTGTCCTCCCAGGGCCTGGGCTGAGGCTGACACCTCGGAAACTGCTGGGTCCTCCAGAGGAGAGCCCTGGCTCTGTGGCCTGGTCAGTGCTGGAGGCAATGAGAAGTGGACTAAGGTCTCCATAGCCGAGGTGTCTGGTGTCTGTAGGACTGGGTCTCAGGGTGAGGAGGCTGGGGCCGCCAGACAGTCAGTCATTCCTCCAGAGTCGATGTCTGTCATTCCCTGCTGAGGCCTCCATCTCTGGCCAGGACCCTGGCTCTCGGGATCCTGCGGGAGGGCCCGTTCGGGAAGATCCACCGGTAGGGGTGCAGCCTGCAAACCCTGGAGAGCACTCTCAGCCCAGGCAGCCGCAGGCAGTAGCTGAGAGGCGGTCCACGGTCCTCCAGGTGCTGTTGACGTCCATGAAGGAGACGGCCTCATAGCGCGTGGGGCGGCAGCAGGGCTGGCTGACCGGCCGGGAGCCGGGCGGCGGCCGCAGGGCCCCGGCACCCAGCAGGCTGGCCAGGCTGAGGTCGTGTGGGGAGCGCGCGCGGCGGCACGAGCCGCTGCAGAAGCGGAAACGCACCAGCTCGTCTGAGCTGTGGCCCAGGCCCAGCGCGCGCACCGGCACCAGCTGCGAGCGCAGGCGGCAGCCCCGCGCCCCCGCGGCCCGCGCGCGGCTTCCCCAGCTCGCACGGCTCCAGCCCCCGGCACGCGCCGCGCGGCTCCCGCGGGAGGGCGAGGGCGAGGGCGACGCACCAGCTCGTCTGAGCTGTGGCCCAGGCCCAGCGCGCGCACCGGCACCAGCTGCGAGCGCAGGCGGCAGCCCCGCGCCCCCGCGGCCCGCGCGCGGCTTCCCCAGCTCGCACGGCTCCAGCCCCCGGCACGCGCCGCGCGGCTCCCGCGGGAGGGCGAGGGCGAGGGCGAGGGCGGAGGGGGCGCGGGCTGGGGCGGCGGTCGCCGGGCTCTTCCGCCGCACGAACGAGCCACGCGGTCCCCTGGAAGGAGACGGAGTCACGCCCGGTGTCAGCCCTGTCCTGCCCCGCCCCGTCGCCCTCTCACCTACCCGGCAGATGGCCGGCCGGGGGCGTCGGGGTCGGCGCGGGGCCTTCGCGGGTGGCAGGGCTGCGGGGCGCGGGGCCCGCAGAGGCCTTGGCGACGCTGCTCAGCAGGGCCAGAGCAGCCAGAGTTGGCCACAGGACAGGCTGCACAGAGAGACGAGGTGGAGCCTCAGGGAGGAAGTGGGCACCCTGGTGGGCTCAGGTGGAGGGAGCCTGGGAGGCGTTGGGGCCACGGTGGTCAGGAGATCCGAGAGACGATGGTCTCCCAGTGTTGGCTGGGGGGAAGCTCAGGCAGGGCTTAGGTTGTAGGATAATAGGTTGGAACCCAGGGGAGAAAGCACCCCGAGGGCTTTGGCTTTCCTCCTTATTCCTGGCCCCTTCTTGACCATTTCCTTTCCACTTCTGATGGCTACTCAGGTCAAGCCCTCCTCTCCCTCCCTAGTCAAGCCACCTTTCCTCAATACCAGGTGGGAGTTACTGAGAGAACCACTCACCTGCCGCCCAGGCTGGGGCCAGTGGGGCAGCACAGAAGGGCCTCCATGTCCAGGCTCCATCTCTGTCAATACCAAGAGCTCCCATCAGCATAGCTGACCTGTTCCCCCACCCTCCTCTTGAGGCAGCTTGAAACACTGAGAGATGAGTTCTCCTTGGAACAGGTCATCCCCCACTTCCGTTTCTCCAGACGAGGAACAAGGGGCTTGTATAGCTGGAGTCAACCCAGGAGAAGTAGCTGCATTGGTACCTGAAATAGTGCTGGTGCTTTGCACCTGTTCCCTGCTTCCGTCCTCCCAACTCCATGAGGTAAATGGTAAATTCTCACTTTCTAGATGAGCAGAAGAGGCTCAGAGAAGCTCAGAGATTGTCTAAGGTCACAAGGTTAGACCCACATAGCTGGGGACTGGGGAGGGGGAGTATCTTTCCCCAGGACCTTCCTGCTCTGGTGTTAAAGGGCTAGAGCTACCAGGACTGGCTGGAGAAGGGAGTAGCTGGACACTCTTGGTCCCACAGAGAGCTTTCTCTTCATGCCACAAGGAGGATGCTGTGGCCTGGAGAATTAGGGTGCTTGCTGGTTGACCTGAGTTAATCAGATGTTAGTGAGGCCCAGGCCTCAGACGATGCTGCTATATCTCGCTCCTCTATGATGCCTGTTGGCACCCAGAGCCACTTGGGTTCTCTCTTCTGACCACAGCTGTCCCTGAAAAGCCAGCAGGTGGGGAGGTGCTGAAGAGGGGCCTTGACCATGGCTCCATATAGCCACCAGGGGGCGGCATCTGCCAACTCTGCAGACTCAGAGAGAGGTGGACCTTTCCCTAAAGATCTGCTAGACTAGGGCCTGAGCATTGAGCAATTCCTAGGAGGGCTGGCCAGGCCTCCACACCACCTTGGTCTCTGAGCGCTGAGCTATCCTTAAAGTTGGTCCATGCCTGCCCCCTTTCCTGCTTCCTGGAGATCTGGCAGACTGGCTGTGCCCCTAGAAGTTTCCCCAATGAGCCATCCTTCCTAAGCCCAGCCAGTCTTTTTGAGCCCCACCAGCCTTTGAGAGCCCATGCTGGCTGACACTCCCAGACACCCCTCTGGAGCCCAGAACTTTCATGAGTTTTCAGTGACTGGCCTGCTCTTGGGTTCCAGCTGTCACCTCCACCTCGACCCCTAACACACATAATGTCTGCAAAGCTGTGTCTACAGACTTCCCCAGGCCTCCCTGGTGTTGTCCTCTGGAGCCAGGTGTGCTAGGCTAACCGAATCCTGGCCCTGAGGGGTAGGCAAGGGACTTCCCACTGATGGAGGGAAAGCTGCGCCAGGCAGCCTAAAGGCCCTTGCGCTAGGAGGAGCCCAGGAACAGGCCTCTCGAGGGCGGCTCAGGCCCTTGTTCCACCCCCACACCCCCTTCCTGGCAGTCTGGGACTCCTTGGTCCTTCAGCCCTTGCCTCTCCATCCGCCAGTCCCATACTCACCACGGGGTCCTGCACAGTGTTCTTCTAGGCACCTTTCCCAGGACCCGTGCTGGGCTTTTCTCTGCAGCTCAAAAGGCTCATGCCCAGAGCTGTGCACCTGGTAGCGCTTCTTTTAGCCAAAAGCGTGGTCTTTGCAGCCAGTTTGCGTCCTGTAGCGGCAGCGGGAGCCTCACATTACAGCTGGCCCGCAGGGCTAGCACAGTTCCACAAGCGACAAGAGGGCCTGAGGGGGCTGGGAGGGGTGGAGAGCTGCGCAAAGGGCCCAGGAGAGGGAGGATGTGAGAAAGGAGTGGAGAAAGCCTATCCTGCCCACTCCCCCTAGCACCAGGGCTGGGACGAGGGGTGCGCAAACAGGTCGTCTTACCGCGAGTGCAGGGCTGGGTCCGGGACTCGGTGAGTGCTGGGGCCCGAGGGACCTGCCGCTGGCGGAGCCCGTGGGCTGTGTCTGGGGGCCGGGCCCAACTCCATCCCTCAGTAGCCTCAAGCCCGCCGCCGTCCGGTGTCAAATTCCAGCCCCGGCGTCACCGGATCCTGGGGTGGGGCCCGGAGCGCCCCCGCCCCGCCCTACCTTGCAGGGCTCACCTGGCTGCTCCACCCGCCGGGATCCGGTCCCCTCCACCCCCACCCCCCACCCCGGCTCCGCTAGCTTCCCGAAGTGGGGGTGGGGAGACGCTGGGAAGGGCCGGGGTGGGGAGACGCTGGGAAGGGCCCCCGGGATGCAGAGGGGAGAACTGTGCGGTCGAGAGCGAGGCGCAGAGACTGGGCGTTCAGAGTTTGTAGACACAAGAAGTAGGGAGTTGGGAGCCCGGGCGGAGGGCGGGAGACGGAGAGCAAGGGCGCGGAAGGAGGGGACCGGCCGGTCCTGGCATGGGCCGCCGGCCCTCCGGTTTGCGCCGTCCCCGGGGTCCCGGCCGGCCGCCCTGCCGTGACTGTTCCCTGGCGCACCACTAGTTTCTTTCCTCAACAGACCCATGGAACTTCTTGGGTCAGCTAGACACTGAGCTGGGGATGTGGAGGTCGGACCCGGCTTAGGGCCTCACCACTCCCCTCCAGCGCGGCCTGGGGCTTGGAGTAGAGACATATCTGTAAACACAGCAGCTCGCTGGCACCTGGAGGGCAGTGCTAGCAGGAGTGGGTGCCCAGGGCTGAAGAATGGGAGGGTCACGGAGGAGGAACATTTGCGCTGAGGCTTGAGGTAGGAGCTCGAGGGTAGTATTTCAGATGCCTAATTATGGCATTTCTATGGGGTGGAGGCTGGGTGAGTAACATGTATAGAGGTAAGGAAAGGGCAGCTCCTGTGTGTCATAGTAGGAGTCTGGATGGACTTTATTCCAGTGACACTGGGGACCACTGAAGGGTTTCCAGCAGAGGAATGGTGTGATAAGACATGTGTTTCAGTGACTGGCTGCAGTAGGGAAGGTAGTCTGGAGATGAAAGGTGTTGACTGTAAGGAGGCTGCTGGGGGACACTGAAGTCTGAAGCAAACTCGTGGGACAGCAAAGGAGTGCAAAGGCTCTTTCCAGACCACATCTTTTGGAAAACTCAGCTGGTGCCTGATTGGATGGGGTGAAGAGGTAGGGCAGGCACAGGGTTGCTTTTGGCCTGGGTGATCAGGTGGTGGGGATACATTCTGGCAGTGGGGAACTCCCTGGAAGGGGGGCAGGTTGGTGGCTGGAGCTCAGGAGTTCAGTGTTGGACATGTCCAGTTAGAAGGATCTTTGGATTATCCTAGTGGAAATGTTTAGGAAGCAGCTGAGTTGTAGCCTGGAGTGAAGTGGAGAGAGCTGGGCTGGGGATGGCAGTTTGGGAATTGTTGACCAACTGACAGTTGGAAGCCGTGGGTGGGGATGAAAGTGCTCAGGGAACGTGCATGGACCAGCTATACCCTGGCTATGCATCTGTAGACCTTTTAAAATACTACCCACATCCGGGCTCCACCCTAGACCTGAATCAGAACCTTGGGGTGGGCCTGTGCACAGGTGGTTCTGGTGTTCGGCCAGGGCTGAGAACCACAGCTTTTGTGAGAGCAGTCTATGCAGTGATAAGGTCTAGAAGCCAGACCGCAGAGAACTGCTGGGGTGGGGGGTCTGTCTGGAGGCTTGATGGGAACCCTGTGGGACAGCAGGTTACGTGGTGAGCCCGTGAGCAGCTCTGCTCTCTGCTGCCTGCTGCTTTGGGTTGCCAAGCTGGCGTGGCTTCCCTGGGGCTTTGTCAGCTATGGCTGCTGCTTGGAAGCATGCATCCTATGCCCTGTACAACTCCAGGGGGTGCCATTCACATAGGATATGATGTGCACTGGAGATGTGCATCACAGTGGCTCTGTTTCCAGCAGAATTCAGAGGGAGTCTCTGGGTTTGCCTGTCCCTCCGTCAGGGCCTTGCTTTGCCCTCAGCTGAGAAGATTCTGCCTGAGGACAAACCGCAGGAGTGAAGGGGGCATGTGGGAAGTCAGTGGTCCTGGGGCGGCCAGGACTCAGATTGAGATGGCAGGAGAGAAAAGGCCACCCCCACTTAGTGCTACAGTGAGGGCTCTGACAGGAAGCTCACTCCATGGCCTCAGGCACAGGCAGTTTGCCCTGTTCTCAGGCCTGCTTGGGGTTGCTGGGGAGGGAGAAATCAGATTCTAGGGGCTCTAAGGGGGCGAGGCACGGGGTAGGGGGTGTAGGGGTGGTGATGGGGTGGCAGGAGGATGTCCCTTCTGATTCTCCAGAGGGTACCTACAGCTGGGCTGCCTTCCTGTTCTGGGGGGAAGAGGACTCAGGGGAGAGGGTGGGCTTTTGTGCTAAGGGTGGGGGTGGATCATGTCCTTCCCAGAGCTCAGCCAGGGGTGCCAAGAGTGGGAAAGGTCTGTGGGCCAGTCTTTGCTGTGGGCTCAGCATTGTATCTTTCCTGTGTTTGCAGGAATCTGTCCCTGCAGAGATGGGGCTGTGGTGACCCAGAGTCACCATCTTAAGGCTGTGGGTGTCAATCTCCTGCCCTCTGGCTCTTTTAGGAGGCACCAAAGTAGACTCTCAGGCATGTCCTAAAACCCCTGGTCTGCCTCTTTTAAGGCAAAGAGGGTGCAGGATAGTGTGGGATGGGAAATACTTCAGATGCCCCTAGGTAGATACCCATGTCCTGCAGTTGACATGAGATGTGAAGGGGTTCTGTAGGATGGAGAGATAGTCCTTGGGTTTAACATGGTTGCTGAGGCCCCAGTTGCTGTTTCTTCCAGAAAAATCAGAGAAAGCAAGAGGCCAGGTTCAGGGAAGAGCTTTATTGCTTCCATGATGGCTGCCCAGGTGGCTGCCACAGCCACTTCTCTCTGCTTCAGGCTAAAGGCAGCACCCAAGGACCTGGCAGTCTCATTTCTAAAACCCAGAACAGCTGCCAAGTCAGTCCAGGCCTGGGGCACTGTCCTGTGGATCAACTACAGCTGGGGAGGGGGCCATTACCGTCAGGCTGGGCCGGGCCTCACCTCCCGAGCTCTGAAGTTCTCTCTGCTCCAGCCCAGGGTCTGTCTTGTTGGCTTAAATAATGGCTCCAGGGTTTCCCTGTGGGACAGTTAGGGGCTAGTGAGTGGGAATATCCCATCTTATCCCCAAGAAAGGCCAAATAGTGTCATGAGCTGGGTGGGGCTGGCATGCGATCCTGCCCACCTCCCTGCAGTCCTGAGCAGGGTACAGGTTTGTCATGGCACTCCCTACTCTACAGGGAGCCCACTGCTTCCACTGCCTGATGGGCCCCTAGTGAGCACTTTTCTGCACAGCAAGTGGATTAAACTCTAACCTTATTTAAAAATAAATTATCCCTTCCCTCCCCGACCCAAATTCACAAAATGATAATACACCCAACACTGACTGGAGACATGATTCCATCAGCAGCCTTGAGGCCTAGTGCCTACCACCTGCATGCTGGGCCTGCTGGGCGCTGCCAGTGGCCTCCTAGCCCTCTGGCTTCAAGGATGCAGGATGATTGCTGGTCTCTTGGGCTGGCCTCTGAGCAGACATGGCTCTGGCTGCCTGGCCGAGGCCTTGCCACTGCTGGGGCCACTTGGCACTGTCCTTCTCTGGGTCTGAAGACTCCTGTGCCTCTCAGGCAGAGTCAGACCGAGGCCAGTGAGGTGGACAGGTGGCGGTGGCTGCTGCTTGCTTTTGGTGGTGCCAGGACCTCTGCTGCCTTGTGCTGGGCCCACCTCAGATGCCACTGGTTAGGTCAGTGATGACACGTGCTTTCACCAGCTTCCGCAGAAACTCTTTCTCTCGCTGAATATTGTGCGTCCAAGACTGGAGGAAAAGAGATGGAGAAGTGTGAGCTGAGCAGGTAGCTGCGGGGACACTGCCAGCTGGAGTACAATTCCCAGGGCTTGGTGCCATCTTCTGACTACCATGCTCCAATCCTCTGTGACTCTGCAAAATCTGCTCTAGAAGTGCCACAGCTTCCCAGGACTTGGAGAAAAAGCTTTCTAACGCCTTTGCTCATCCCAGGAGAGTTAGGCCTCTTATCTTCCAAGTCTTAGGAGATATAAGCTTTCCAACCTTGTTCTCATAGACTTCCACACCTCCTTGACCACTAGCACCCTGAGGTTCTGGGCACCCTGAGGACAGGCAATGTGAGTCACTTAGGTCTGGCCCAGGCCTAGGGGTGGGCCCTGCTGGAAGGAGAACTGCGTGGGGTGCCTTAGTCATTTTCTGGCCTGATGCAATCCACTCTCCAGGCCTGAGGGCAACTGATGAAATCCTATCTCTCAGATCAGAGAAGCTAGGGGGCCTGAGGATAAGAGGCTCATCTTACTGTAAATGTGGAAATTATAGGGAAGATGCTGCCTTCCAGGGTTTTCCTAGGGGAAAACTGTACCCAGGCTCAGGTTCTTTCCTATCCCTGTACTCACCAGGAAGCTTTGATGACTAAGGCTCTCAAAGAATGAAGGACTAAATGATGAATGAATGAATGAATGAATGAATGAAAGCCAATAACCTTATCATAGTACAATTTGTACTCAACTAACCGCCCTGTTGCCCTGTTGGGTCTGCCAGCACTGAGCCTCAGTGATATTAACAGGCATCATTTGGTGCTAAGAGCCTGCAGCTCTGTCCCATCCTTATTCTGATCCTGTCAACTCTCTCCAACCTTCCAAATCTTTTCAATCTGAAACTCAGGCAAAATTCCTTCTATTCCTCTTCTCTGAACTTGTGCTAGCCATAAATGCAGCTGCCCCTAAGGCTAGTGTCCCCCAGACACTCTAAAGTGGTGACTCTTTTTCCCACAGCTCCACACTCCACAGCGCCTGAAGGTGGGCAAGGTTCTCTTCACTCTTTCTAGCTGCTTCTGCAGAGCTGCCCCACCATACTCCCTATAAGCTCCGGCACCTTTGAGGCTTCTGTCATCATACTCTGCCTCCTTGGTTTGCCGTCATTCCTTGAACATTTGAGTGTCTGGCTCTCTGTCTGGCTTTGAAGGCAGGGATTGTTTGGTACAGAGTAGGTGCTCAATAAATAACTGCTGAATGAATTAGCTCTTAAAGGTAAGAAAACAGAGGCTTGGAGGAATGGCAGGGCCAGGATCTAAACAAGGGTAGAAATTCATACATTTGCTTACCTGTCCTTTGCTCACCCACCCCTTCCTCACTCCCCAGGAGAGGTCGCCAATCTAATGGGTCAGTGTCAGAACAGCCCCTGAGAGCCATTGAGGGCTGAAAGGTCAGCAGAAGACTGGATATTTGATGATATTGAGGAATTATTATGGTGGGTTTTTTGGTGTGATAATAGTATTGTGATAATAAAAAATAGTCCTTATCTTTTAGAACCACTTACTGAAGTATTTATGGCTGGAATGATACAATATCTGATGCTTGTTCCAAATAATCAGTGGGTAGGGGAAGCATGAGTGGCAGAACAGACGAAAGCACACTGTGTGGATCACTGAGGGAGATGATAGGTACATGGGAGTCCATTATATTATTCTCTATATTTATGAATGTTTGACAATGTTCACAATAAAAGAGTAACAAAGGAGTCTACTTTCCCTGGGGCGTAGCTCTCCTGGACCGGATAATGACACCTCTCTGGGGCTGTTTTCCTAACTCCTCACAGCCTAGGCGCTTACTGGAGCTCTGGAGGACACCGGTTATCGACATTGTCTGTGGGCTGGGACAGGTTCTGGCAGTCCTGAGTTTACAGCTGCTCCAGGATGTTTGACTCTGGATGCAGATGTCCATCCCATTCCATCCACACTCACAGAACAGCCTTCCTTCTTGTGGCTCTTTTAGTGTCCTTACCTCTGCTTCTCTTCCCTCACCCAGTCATTAAGCATTGCCCTGATTTGATTGTCTCCTTAGGAAATTTCATCCATGCCTTCCCTCTGTTTGCACAAGAACTGAGTTCATAACTCAAAATCTACTTTTGCAGCCCAGATTTCTCAGCTGGGTAGCAGACTCTGGTATGAAGCCACTTCAGCCTCTAGGTACTGCTCAGTCCCCCTCCTCCCTGCTTCTCATGCAAGCCTCCAAAAGAGCACTTACTCTGTACCACTCTTGTGCTCTCAGGACCACCTTTACTCACTGTTCAGCCACTGCAGTCTAGCTCTTTCACCACCACTCCTTTTAAACCGCTCTCACCACAGACAGAGGACCTCCTAACTGGTGCAGCCAATGGCCATTGCTCATGTCATCTCACTGGACTTCTCCGCTGCACCTGACACTGTGATTCTCCTTGAAACACTGCACCTTTGGTCTCTATGACTGCATCTTCCTACCTCTTCTCTACTTTCTCTTTGTCTGCTTTAGGAATTCCGTTGACATCCCTTACATATCCTCCAGCATTTACCCTTGCGCCACTTGTCTTTGCATCCCACATGCTGCTGCTGGGCTGATCGGGCAAGTGGAGGTGAAGCAGTGGTGAAGTCAGCCTGCTGAATGGTTCACTTGCCTATAGGAGACACTCAAGGTGACAGCAGGGATCTTAAATACAGGCACCAGCATTTCTAAGTGAATCCTCACCCAGGAAGCTGGGAGGTAACAGTGGTAAGTAGGGGTAAAAACATTAATATTAATAATAATGGCAAGTTGTTATGAGTGCTTACTATGTGCCAGGCCTTTTTAGTGCATCATCGCATCTAATGTTTCCCAAACCTTGGAGGCAGGTGCTATTGTTGCCCCTTTTGCTGGTGAGGAAAGAAGGTCTAGAGCCAGACTCTGAACCTGGGCCATCTGATTTCACAGCTGGCACTCTTCAGCACTGGTGCAGGTGGCTCTGCAGGATAAGGAGCGGGGCAGTGGCCTGAAAATGGATACAGCACATGGAAGAAAGGGAACAGTCCCCACCAGAGGGCTTCAGGGAAAGTGGTGGCTTTCTAACTCATTACTGCGCTGAGGCATCCCCAGTACACCACAGTCGTGGTTCAGGGGTCCCCATCACTTGCCTAGACTGCTGACAGCCTCCCAACTAGTTTCTATTCCTGCCTGGTGCCCTCTATTTTATGCTGCAGCCACTGTGACCCTAACCTGCTCAACTACAGCCAAAAACTCTTCTGTGCCTACCTTGTGCCTTCAGAATAAAGTTCAGACTCCTTACCGTGGCAGAGAAAGCCCTTCATGATTTGGCCACTGCCTCTCACCTACTGCCTAAAATTTTACATAAAGTTTACATAAAAGGAATATGTAAGAGACCAAAGACATATAAGGAAAGAGAACCCAGGAGACAGGTATAGTCCATGGGAGCAGTCTGGAGTGGGTGCTGGCAAGGGGCTAAGAAGCAAGAAGACACATGACCTGAGACAGAGATGGGAAGACCAACAGGGCCATGGTGATGAGGCGGGGCTGGAGCTGCTGCTGAGGGGATGCGGCGGCTCTGGGGCTGTCCTGGACCCAGGATGAGCCTCCTCCTCCTGGCCCCATCCCAGCTCTCAGGCGCTTTCTGGTTTCCCAAGTCTCTTATATCACTGAAATAACTTCTAACTGCTTTAGGTAGCCTGAATGAACCAAAAAAGCTTAATACAACATAGATGGGAACTGAAACCACGAAGATAGAAATCTCCTGGAGAACATGTAGAAGAGATGTCCAGGGTGGAACCCTACCTACTGCTAATTCTGAAGGAGTAGATTGAAAGGACACTGGGAAGCGGAATGAGAGAGACTGGCAAGTGAAATAAGGGACGTTGGAGAGTGACTGGCTCTGGAGTCCAAGCAAGTGGAAAGAGTGGTCAACATAAAAAGTGTCTCTCAGGGATCAGGAAAGGTGAGACTTAGTGTGCCCACTGGGTTCAGCAGCCTGGAGGTGAGTCACTGGTGACTCGGTGGGAGTCGTGTCAGGAGAAGGGGGAAGCCAGGATGCAAGGGCGAAGGGCAAGTGGGAGGGAGGGGCGCCTGGAGGGTGACCCGCTAGGGGCTGACAGAGTCCCCACCGCAGCTTCAGTGTCTTCACTGGAGGAGGGAGGGGAGGCAGGAGCTGTCAGGGAGTGGAAGGCTCTGGAACAGTGCAGTGAGGATTGGAGAAGGGCATGTAAAAAGACTGGTGAGCGGGAATGAGGACTACCTGAGATTAGAACCCCCAAATATACAGAACTATGAATCTCCACAGACAGAGGAGTTCCTTCAATACCCCCACCACCCAGGTGTAGGAGGGGAGAAGCTGCTCAAAGCATCAGCCTAGGATGTCCAGGTTCCAGGCTGGGTCAGTGGCAGGTTAGTGGTAAAAGCAGAGGGAGTTGTAAGAGGGTTCAAAGTTTCCACCCAGGCTCTTGCTGTGAAGGGAGAGATGCCAGGACCAGCTGACTAGCAGGCTGGGAGAATTGCAGGGCTTTGTGAACCTGAGGGTGCCTGAACACACGCGTCAGCTGGGGAGAATGCAGGTGAACAAGAACTTCAGTGCCTGGCCAAGGCGAAGGGTGAAGGCAACACGGGGCCATCCTGAGACTGACAGGCAATGTCTGTGGGTTGTCGGAGGGACGAGGATGTCCATGGGAGAGGACAGGACATGTGGTGGAGAGGACAGCTCCAAGCTGGTGCCAAGACAAGTGAGCATATGCGGCTGGGGAATAGCAGGAGGAGGCTGGGGGAAGCTCAGGGAGAAGGCTAGGGAAGGGGCCGCTGGGTTCTGGGGTAGGAGGCTGGGGAGAGGGGCAGAGAGGACAGTTGGTATCCGAGGCCTGCAGGCAGGGATAGATCTCTGGTGACCCAGCTTAGCTGAGGGTAGGGCAGGGCCAGTGCTGGGAGCTCTAGGCAGCCACACCAGCCACTGGCTCATCCCTTTACCATTCACATTTGTGCCCATGCAGTTGGACATCCTTTGTGCCGACCACGCCCTCTCCCTGCACTCTGCCCACCCCTCCTTCCCCCGCCGCTCAGCCCCACACCTCTTTGATGGCTGCCATGCGCACGGTCTCATAGTAGTGCAGGGGTGCATCGGGTGTGCTCATGTCGTAGCCAAAGCCTGCAACTGCCACCTCATCACAGCCGTGGAGTGCCATGGTCACTGCCACACTGCCAAGAGTTGGGATGTTCTGGAGGAGAAGGAGGAGGTGCAGCGTTCAGCTGGAGGGTTGTGTGAAGCTGAGATGTCCGGCTAAGCTCCCCAGAACTGAGCTCCGTTCTCAAGGACTGAGCCCTCTGCCCCTCACCCTGCTGCTCACCCTTCTTTCCCATGTTCCCTCTGACCCATGTCCCCTCCTCCCTCTCCAGGGGCCCAGCTATCTCACCCCTCGGCCCATGAGGCCGTTGTTGAAGGGCAGTCCAATGAGGGTGAAGGCGGCCTCCTGGATGAAATACGGGTTGAGGATGCGAATCTCAGCGGGCTCCTTGGGCACTCGAGTGGCCACAGATTTCCAGAAGCCATCGGAGGCGCTCTGTAGACACAGCACAGTGGGCATGAGCTGGCCCATAGCTTGTGATGGGGCTGTGTGAGTAGCAGGAACCCAAAGTGTGGACAGGCCAATGAGAACAGAGTGGGGACACGGGGAGGCTGGGGAGTGTGGAATAAACACAGCTGGCAGAGGGAGGACCTGTGTGTACACTGGGGACACAGGATGTGTGACAGAGACAGAAGTATGTAGGGAACAGTGAGCATATGGAGGGCACAGGGTGTGGCCCATGGGTGTGTTGCTCTGGCCTGAGGGGTTCCTGTATGACAGGAAGCCCCGGCCCCTTTGCAGCTATGGGGGGACGTGCGGGAGGCGCCTGCCCTTCTCTCCTATCTGCCCGGCTGCGCTTGCCTCCTTTCCCTTCTGCTGTCTCTCCTTGCTCTCAGTCAACTGTTCTAAAGTGAACCTGAAAAACAAGCACAGAATGTGAGCTGGTACGGCACAGCAGAGCTCTCAGACCCCAGTTCTGCCACGATTAGAGGTGGGTGACTTTGGGCAAGTGACAAGCTCTCTGAGCTTTAGTTTCTTTACTGCAAAATGGGATCATTCTTCCTCAGAGATCTCAGACCCTCCTGGAAGGACATCAGCTCTGAAGCCTAGCATCGCAGTGTCCATTCCAGGGCCACAGCTCCCTCTCCTAACCCTCTCCCTTCCTCTAGTTCCCAGTCCTCCCTCTCTGTTCAGGGCACTGGTCCTTCCTGCTCTAGTTCCTGAAGGACAGCACTTGAGCTACTCTGATGATTTGCCTCAACTCCCTGCCCCTGCCCTTCTATTGTCCTAGCCTAGGGAAGCCCTGAACTTGGGGTCAGCCCATGCATCCACCTTTCTATTCTCACAAGTGGGCTCCTGAGTACTGCTGGAGAAAGTCACAAACCGACCTTGCAGACTAGAGGAGTTGCCAGGCCATGGACTCCAGCCTGCTATTTTTTGTTTGTTGCCTAGAAAACGAAAAGAATCAATGAAACTTAGAATGGATAAAATAATTTGGTAATAGGATCTGCACTCTGATAGGAAACAGTCATAATACAAAAGATGCCATTTGCAGTCCTAACGAAAAAGATATAATACTGCGCAATAAACTTAAATATATGGGATCTACAATAAAAAAAACTACAATCCTAGGAATTTACCCTAAGAATACAGTAGCCCAGTTTGAAAAAGACATATGCACCCCTATGTTTATTGCAGCACTATTTACAATAGCCAAGAAATGGAAGCAACCTAAGTGTCCATCGGTAGATGACTAGATAAAGAAGATGTGGTACATATTCACAATGGAATACTATTCAGCCATGAGAAAGAAACAAATCCTACCTTTTGCAACAACATGGATGGAGCTAGAGGGTATTATGCTCAGTGAAATAAGCCAGGCAGAGAAAGACAAGCACCAAATGATTTCACTCATATGTGGAGTATAAGAACAAAGAAAAAACTGAAGGAACAAAACAGCAGCAGAATCACAGAACCCAAGAATGGACTAGCAGTTACCAAAGGGAAGGGGACTGGGAAGGATGGGTGGGAAGGGAGGGATAAGGCGGGGGGAAGAAAGGGGAGCATTATGATTAGCATGTATAATGTGGGGGCAGGCACGGGGAGGGCTGTGCAACATAGAGAAGACAAGCAGTGATTCTACAGCATCTTACTACGCTGATGGACAGTGACTGAAATGGGGATTGTGGGAGGGACTCGGTGAAAGAGGGGTACCTAGTAAACATAATGTCCCTCATGTAATTGTAGATTAATGATACCAAAAGAAAAAAAACTACAATCCTTTATGAAAGATACAAAAAGATGACTTGAAAAAATTGGGAGACCAAGTATATTCTTGGATGGGAAAACTGAGTATTAGCACAACACCAATTCCTTCCAAATTAATGTAGGCTTAAGTTAATTCTGAGAAAAATCCCAATAGAGTCTTTGAAACTTATCAAAGGATTCTAAAAACACACCCAAAAGATTTACCAGGTAAAAATAGCGCCCCCAAATTTAAAACTAAGATACTAGAGTATATTATGAATTTGCAACTATTAAAATGTTGACAGATGTATAAGAATCAATACAAAGATCAATGAAGCAAGACAACCCAGAAGCAGACCCCCCTCACTAATCACACACACACGCACATGTATATTTACATAAATATATATAACACTTTAGGTTATGATAAAGAAAGTTTTCCCGTCAGTGGGAACAAGATGATTTTCTCAGTAAGTGACTTGAAAACTTGCTATTTAGAAAAAAGATCCATTTACTTCCTGTCCTTATACTATACACAAAGTAACTAAATGCTAAAAAAGTAAAAATAAAATTTAGATGTTTATTTTATCTTTGAACCTCCTAAATGTTAATGCATTGTTAGAAACAAAGAAAAAGATAAACATATTTTGACTTTGAAAACATTTTTAAGTGCTTTGGTATATCAAAAACATAATAAACAAAATTAAGAGGGAAGCAAAGTGGGAAAATTTTTGTCATGAATAGTCAGAAGTACATATTTTAGAAGTTCATGAAAAATCAATGAGACCCCATAAAAATAGGGCAAGAACATAAAATAAGGTTAAGAAGCATGAAAATAGTGACAAAGAAATGCAAATTAAAATAACAAGATACTTTTATTTTAATCCTCTAAAATATGTATGTGTGTATGTGTATCTATGTATACATTTTTTAGTGCTTGTGGTGTCTGAGGGAGAATTCTCCTACACCACTCTATGAGTCAAATATGGTGCTGCCCTTCTAAAAAGCAACCTGATAATATGTATCAAAGCCTCAAGATTGTTTATACCTGATGACTGCAACATTTCTCTTCTAAAAGTAATGAAAATGGTGAAGACCTCGTGAAAGTAAAAAGCCAGAAAAAAAACTAAAGTTTACGATACAGGTTTGGTTAAATGATACCTATCACTGAATGTTACTGACATCACAATTTCATTTTCTAAGAATTTTGTCACAGAGATGAGCCAGAATTTATTTAAACAATCCTGTTGTTGGACTTCTAAGTTGTTTCCAGTTCCCTGAGATCTGGTACTCCTCCTGTGCTCCCTAATCTACTGTCCATTATCCCATCTTCTAATGAAACCTGGGAATCGACTTTAGGTTCATCTCTCCAGCGCTCTCTAACCTACTGGTTATCTAGCTCTTTTGATTCAATCTCCTTAGAATCCCATGGATCTATCCCTTCCTCCCAAACCCACTGCTGCCACCTTCAGTCCTGGTCTCATCATCTTTCAGCTGAACCATCCTAATGACCAGCCATTGACAGCATCTGTCTTGAGTGCTCAGCACCCCAGAGTTCAGGAGAGTGACTGGAACAAAAATGGGACATGGTACTTGTAGGATTCCAGTCACTTACTCAACAAAGATGTAATGAGTGCCTAGAACGGGCCACTTCTGTTCCTAAACCACTTTCCACTCTCTGCCAGAGTGCTCTTTCTCTATACAGACCAGATCACATTACCATGGTCCACAGATCTCAGCTTTCTGGCCCGTAACCTGGTCTGCCTCTCGAGGCCCCACTTCAGCCCACCTCAAGTTCACGCTTGCTAATTCGTGCCTCCATGCTTGTGCTGACGGTGCTCCTTCTGTCTCTAACGGCTTTCCCACCTCTAGCCACCTGATCTGTCCTATGCATTTGTTACAACTCAGCATCTCCTCCTTCCTCATGTCTTGCCTGACCCCCTTCATCCCAAGGTAGAAATGACCTCTAACCTTTGGAAGGTGATGAAATACAGAGTTAAGATCTGCTACGGTTTGAATGTGTTTCCTTTTCCCCAGTTCACATGTTGAACACCTAATGCTCAAGGTGATGGCCTTGGGAGGTGGGGCACTCATGAGTGGGATTAATGCCCTTATAAAAGAGACCCCAGAGAGATCCAGCACATCGTCAGCTGCTCAGCTGTTACCACGAGCATCAGTGGTGTGTTGCAACCATCCACTCTGCAGGGCAGGGCTCCCATCGGACTCAATCCTTAGCCTAGCACTGCACCTGACAGCGGATGTTACAGGAGGCAAGAAATCCACCCAAGGCTCCTCCACTGCCCTCAGCAGCAGCATAGAGCTCCCCACTGCTCAGCACCCCTTCAGGCTCACCTTCCACTGCCTCCGATGGACTCTCTCTGCTCCAGTCACTCCTCCTGTGTCTCCCCACCTTTGTAGCAACATCTCTCTCTCTGGAAATTATATCTGTCCTCCAAGGCCCAGCTCAAAGGATAGGTAGGCCCTTGGGGGCAATCCTCTCCAATGAGACCGAGAACAGACCCTAGACTATCTTCCTCCTGCATCTCCCTGTGTACAGGAGGTGTGTGTGTGTGTGTGTGTGTGTGTGTGTGTGTGTGTGTGTGTGTACAGATAGCTGAGATCTTACAGAGAACTGGGAGAAGTGTGTGTGTGTGTGTGTGTGTGGTGTGTGTGTGTGTGTGTACAGATAGCTGAGATCTTACAGAGAACTGGGAGAAGTCCCTCTGGGAGGGCCCCGAGCAGAGAGGAACGGTGAGAGCCGGCCTGTGCCAGAGGCATAGCCCCTGTCCCTCCTTTAGAGTCTGGTGGGCCTCAACAGTTCCACCCCCACCCCCATGCCTGCCCCACACACCTAAGAGGAGAAAGAGTAGGGGCTCCAGGGAGGGCTAGGGAGAGGCAGGAATAGGAACCGGGGGCGTGTAGGGCTCCAGGCCAGCTCTCGTACACATCACTTTATTTACATCTCAACTTTCACCGGCTTCCCAGGTCTGGCCCCAAGATGAAGCAACACGCTCAAGGTCATACTAGTGGCTGTGCCAAGGTACAGACCTGGGTGTTATGACTCCAAGAGGGGTGCTCTTTCTGTCACAGCATTTATTACCATCACAGCTATTCCCACCTCAGGAATTCTGGGGGCCTGGGCTCGAGGATGAATGAGACCTCCCCTCTGCCCTCCAGGAGCTCTAAGGTGAGTTAAAGTTATATCTACTCTGGCTGGCATCCTGTTTCACCAAGGGGACTGAGGCTCAGAGGTGCGGGGACTTGCCCAAGATACAGACACAGCTGGGGGGAATCTGAGCCAGTTCCAGCCTCAGAACCTGGTTCTTCCCATGACACGAGATGCCTTCTCTGAACCAATATCTCTGGGCTTTTCCTGGGTGTGTGGTCCCTTAGGTGGCCAATCTGTAACACTGTAGGAGATTAGGTTATTATCTCAAACCCTCTGAGGATCTGAAAGAGCTTCAGTGAGCAGCAGAAACCTTCCGCCTCTTCCTCCCACCTCTCCTCTTTCCTGGACGAGAGATGACTGACCTGACCTCTTAGACTTGAGGTTACTGAGTGTGTCATGTTTACTGCTGTGAGCTGGAGTCACCCCCCCACACACAGCCCTTTTTAACTCCCAGCCCCTATGCAGTAGTGCCCCCAGCAGCCTGGCCCTGCCTCTGCAGCCCGTGTGCCAAGCTCTGAGGCTGTTACTGCCGTGAAGTTGGCAGCCAGCCATGGTAGGGCCCTGAGGGAAGCTGTCCTGCACCTGGGCCTCAGGTCCCAGACAGCCCTGCAGTAGAGCACTGGAACCAGCACGATGAACAGTTCAGTGCTTCTCTTTTATTTTGTTCCAGTCGGTCATTGTCCTGATTTGGAGCCTCCTGAGGAATTTCAGGGAAAGGAGGAAGGATAAGACCAAGATATGATTTGGGCACTTGTGTGTTTCCTCACCCATAAAAATATCAAGTACTAGTAAAACCTCAACTTGTCCCCTAAAATAAAAGCTGTGGTCTCTTTTTTCAGGACAACACACACAAGCACATACACATCATATTTTGCATATCATTGCAGAAGGTCGCAGAATCCCTAGAATCCAGGGGCTTTTCTGACTTCAGATTAAGAAGCTAGTATCGGATGAGGTGAGAACCTGAACAGAATCCTGTGAACACCACCAGTGAAGCGGCAGGTGAGGAAAGCGGAGCCCGTGGAGGAGACTGGGAAGGAGCGGTCACACAGAGGGGAAGGACAAGGGGAGAGGGAGCCTCGGAAGATACCAGCCTTGGACTCTGGAGAACCTTGATGCGTATCCTGATCCCACATCTGTGTGACCTGGGGCACATCATGTAATCTCTGTAAACCTCAAGTTCCTCGTGCCTAACAGGGATGACAAGACTCACTTCCCAATCTTGAGGATTATATGAGATGCTGTGCATTTTACAGCATCTGGCACCAGGTTTGGCACATAGCAAGAGCTCAGTAAATCTTATCTATTATGAGTGAGTGTCACAGAAGCCGAGAGAGTGAAGCCAAAGGTGTGGCCAGCCTTGCCGGACGCCACAGGGAGGCCAGGACACAGACATACATACATTCAAATGCGGGAGCCAGCTTTTCCCTATGGTTCCCGGCAGGAGGGCAGTGGGCGCGACTTCTTGCCACTGGGTGACACTGCCAAGCCTGCCAACAGAGCACAGCCCTGTCCCAGAAGGCCTATGCAAATGTGGTATAGGGCGTCTCACATCTCATTTCCCTAACCCACAGTAGCCATGCCAGCTAGTGACGCTGGCCCTGGAATGGTCAGCCTCTCCCCACGGCCAGCTGTGGGCTGCATTCTTTGTTGAATCCCTCTCCCTCCAGGAATGTCCCTGCCTCAATTAAGCCTGGACCCAGCTCATCAGTGTGGAGTTGCCAGTCTCCTGCTGGTCACAGCAGCCAGGAGCCAGGGGGAAAGCATCTGGAAGAAAGCATCTCCCGCCTGGCTCCCGCGCTGTGCCCCTGAGCCCTTGCAGGGTTCTTTCGCAGCCACTTCCTCCCTCTCTGTGGAGAGAAGCGGTCTGTGCGCCAGGATGAGAGGTCTGGGAGGAGAGAGGCTGCCCGTGGGCTGGCTTCCTGCAGCCAAGAGTAGGGCAGATGTGTTCGCTCCTTCTGCTTCCTGCTGGTGCTGCCTTGGGACAGGCCGCCAGCCTTCACGGGGGTCATGCTAACGGCCACCAGGTCTCCCTGCCTTCATCTTGCCTTCCTTCAATTCCCTCGCTTGCCTGTACAGATCTGATCCTGACACTCTCAGCAGTGGTTCTCCACCGCCCACTGACATAGCTTGCCAGGATAATTAAGAATGTAGGTCTGGCTTTTGTTTTTGTTTTCCTTACCCAAAAGGAGTTTAACCCAGTGGAAAAGACAATGGTGTATACAAATATCTCAGTACGTGGTATAATTATTATGATGTCAGAACAAGCAAAAAAAAAAATATCTGTTACACTTATTTACACTATTTACACAGAAGACATATCCCAAAGATGTTCACATGCATAGTGTGAACTAAGTGGGAAGAGAGCAAGGTGACATACTAAGAGAATTATGAGCAAAACGAAGGCAAGCTTGACAAGAAGGCTATTTACAGATGTAAATGCTTCAGAGCTAATGAGTAACCTGGATCAACAAACACACGAAGACCTGTTACATAGAAGCCATTTCACTTTTTGTACAAATATATGTTCAATAGTATTTCAGATCACCAACAATTTCCAAAACAAGGATTTTCATCGTACAAAAAGAGACCTTTCAGAGCCTCTGGTCCAGTCCCCTCATAACAAGGCCCAAGAGGTTTGTTTTCTTATCTACTCTCTTTCCCCTGAGGGACCCAGCCACCACCATTCTTCCCCAACAACTCAGACTTGAATCCTCAGTCTCCCCTGACCTTTCCCTTTCACACATCCCCAAGAACTACACAACTACCAAATCTGCAGAGTCTGCCCAGATCCATCCCACAGGTGTATCCTCCCCACCTTCCTGCTTTTTGTCAGCCCACCTCTGCTTGCGGATTGGGCTGCCCAATGATTCTGTAGGTCTGTTTTTGAACCCTGACACCCTAACTACAAACTCTGTCCCTGGGAAAGTTCTTTACCCTTTCTATGTCTCTTTATCCTCACCCGTAAAATAAGGGAAACAAGACTAGTTCCTATGTCTTGGTGCTATGACAATTAAAAGTCACACCCATAATATGTTTAACACCAAGTCAGCTCATTAGTTTCTGCTTATTGGTCCACAGGATAAAGTCCAAGCTCCTTGATGTGACTTTGGCTTACAAGACCTCTGTCCCTTGCTCACCCAGCCTCATCTCCGGCCATTGCCACCACATCCATGCAGGCTTTTCTCTAACATTTATGGGGCCAGGGACAAAATTATAAATGGGTGTCTATGTACCACATGTCTAATTTTTAGATTCTAAGTAACTGAAAGTTATAAATCAAAGTATCAAGCTGTTAAATAAAATATATTCTATACTCCCTTCAAAAATGGCATGGAAAGCCAGGCTTGAATTCTGACTCCTGGCAATCTGTGCTGAAGCATGGTAGTGTGAGGAGAGCAGGCCCACCCTGCCTCCCTTCCCTTCCCAGTCCTGGTCCCATTGCACATTCTGAGAAGTATTGTGTATACACGTGTGGATTACCCATTCCCCAGCCCGCACATCTAAGTTCTGCTCATGGCCTCTGCAAAGAGTACTCCTTGGGCTTAGGGGTCTGCACAGGGAGGTATATTCTACCCTCAGGAGGATGAAAGTGGACTTGGCACTGCTAGGCAAGAAATTCTGAGGTCTCTAGTACCTGGTCACAGTCCAGCAAGGGAGGATGGTCCTGGGGTGGGCATTTCCCTCTTGACCCTGCATATTCTTCACTCCATGGCAAAGGATTTGGCTGGAGGAGAGCCAGGTGCCCCTCCCTACAGGCAGTACTGTACCCATGCCACACATAGCTTACATTAAATTATTTTTAATTCACCAAAAATACCATGCTCATTGCCAGTGCTATTCTCCATGAAATTTCATCTCCATCTTGCCAGCCTCTACAAGAGGCTGGGGCAAGCAGCTCAGTTTGGGTCCAGGGCTTATATAAGTGATCTGGAGGTCAAGAAATGGGGCAGCTAGACCCTCTTGACTAGGGTGGCATCTGTTGCCCTGTGCCCAGGCCCTTTTGCTCTCCCAAACACATCGATTCCTGGGCCCTTTGGCTGGGCCCTCTGCCCAGCAGGCAGGCAGTGCTTGTCTTGCTGAATCCCACTTCTCAGGTGGGCAGCATCTGCAGACGAGCACTGTGGCAAGTGCTGCCATGTGCATTGTCTCACTCACTCCTCAAAGCGGTCTAACAGGAGCCTCTCAGAGATGCGTTTACTGTCCTCATCATACAACAGAGGAAAGTGAAATGCAGAGATGTGGGCTGAAGCAGAGGAAGGGACTGGTTTCCATTCCCAGTACCGAATCCAGTGCTGTCCCACCAACCTTCCTGCATGAAGGAGGCAAGGGTGAGGGCGCCTCTGCGGCTGCTGACTGCTTTATAATCTCTCAAGTAGCCCAACCATAATTTACATAATAAACCCTGTAGGTTATATTTGGGTTTGGTCATTATAGATAACACTATAATAAAACCTTTGCGTTAAGGCTTTTCCTTCCTCTGGTTGATGGCTCTTGGTGCCCAAGTGTCATTTCCTTTCCAAAATGCTTGTTCCCATGTACACCCTGACTAGTAGCCTTTGAGAGCACCTGTCACTGAACTCTTGCCAGAATCATGCATTATAATTTAAACACACTCTTTAAAGATGTGGTAGGTGAAAAGGGCATCCTGTTGCCTTCATATGATTTCCTCTGTCTGCTGAGAAGGTTAAGCATGTGTCTGCTGTTCACTAGCTGTGCTTCCTTCGGTGTGGTTTGTTCTGTCCCGTGCCCATTGTCTGCTGAGGTTCTAATGGTCTGCTTGTCAACTTCTATGATAATAACAACTTGTCACATTTCCTAAATATACTTTCAAAGCTTTGTGTATCCAGTCTTTTGTGTTGTTGTTGTTAATTTAAATTTTCATATATGTTCAAATCTGAATTCTCCAAGCACTTCTGTCCCTTGAAAGTTCTTTTCCTTCCAGGGATTTGATTTCTGTTCAACTTTCTTCGAAATTTCCTTTAGTTGTATTTTTTTCATTTTACTTTTTAGTTCATTTGGAATTTATTTTGATATATGCTATGAAGAGAGGGTCAGAAAACCTCTTTGAAAGCTATATTTGGACAAAGCAATGAACAAAAATAGGAGTCGGCTTGGGGCCGACTTTGTGATGCTGACTGACAGCTGAAAGAGGCCAAGCGCCAGGGACTGTTTACTTTCATTTCTTTATCAAGGAGAATGATCTTGGAACCGGAGAAAGAAGATCAAACACGGCTAAGAGGAAAGAGATGCCCAGGAGAGGCAAAAGGAGAGTGAAAGGGCGCAGGGTCTGAATCTGAAAGAATGATCCCCCGGGGCAGGGAGAGAGAGGCAGCCTAGCTAAGAGGAAGGAGCCTCGGCTCAGAGTCATTCAGGCAGGGTCCTGACCCAGCCAGAAGTTATTGCCTTACTATGGGCCTTAGTTTGCACATTTATTTACTCATTTATGTATGCCCACTGTTTCAAACACTGCTGGAGGTGATGGACTTACGGAGATAACAGGACGTTCCTGCCCTCCAGGGGCTTCTAAGAGTTGATGGGTAAGTAAACCCTCACGTGTAATAAGTGATGAGCATTAATGGACAAGACTCAGGAGGAGTGGCTCCTACAGCCTTGGGAAGGGGGGCAGGTGAGGCATGGAAGTGTGAAGTAGGACATCTGTTTCGGAATAGTCAGAGTGGACAGTACATGCTGGCTTCAAGAAGGAGAGGCAAAGGCAAGGAAGGCTCGGAATGGCCACAGCATGGGTGCTCTGCTACAGGGTTTGCATTTTATCCTGCAGGTCAGTGGTTCTCACAACTGAGCCTCTATCAAAAATCACCTGGACGGATCATTAAGACAGACCTCTGGGACCACCCTCTGAGTTTCTCCTTCAGAGGGTCTAAGATAAGGCCCTAAAATGCATTTCTGACAAGTTTCCAGGCTATATGGATGCTACTGGTATGAGACGACACTTTGAGAATGACGCATGCAGGCAATGTAAGCAGGTGAATGAACCAACCAGACGGACACTTTCAGACAGCTGATGGCTTCTGGCACAGATGGGGAGACTGGATTGAAGGGAGACCTGACTGGAGGTGGGAAGAGAGGAAGCTGCTGAAATAATCCAAGTGAGACATTTTTAAAAACGACAGTCACAGATTTGGAGACTAAATGAATGCAGAAGGTAAAGGAGATGGTGGCACACCAAGCATGCTTCCCAGGATTTGGCCATGAGCTTGTAAGAATCAGGGCTATGCCTAGAGGTTAGTGCTGTGCCCAGGACACAGTAAATGCCCACTGGAGGTCTGCTGACAAGCTGTTCCTTTAAAGGGAGGCAGAGGTTGAATCTGTGGGATTTAGATGCAGGTCACCACTGGTAGAGGTTTGGAAGCTAGTCTGCAGAGAGTTGAGAAACAAAGGAGAACATGAAGATGCATCAAGGACAGGTGATGAATCTGTCTAGAATCTTGAAAAAGAAGGGAAGGAGACAAGGCCTTTATTTTTAAGGTGAGAGAGACCTGGACAAATTTATAGATGTGAGAGGAGGATCCAGTAAAGAGAGGAGAAAAGAGAAACATGAAGGAAGACAGCTCCTGAGGGGGTGGGACGAGCTGGTGTCCAAAGCCTAGGAGAAAACTGACCAGCAGGAGCATAGAATGGATGGTGGAGGAGGGAAGCTAGGGTTGGGGCTGCAGGTTAAGTTCACAGGCTGGAGGCTGGGAAGCTGAGAGTCCTCGACTGTTGACGACCTTCATTTTCCCTGCAGAGCTGGCTCTAAGGTTTCTGCTTAGGGTAGGGATGGAGGTACAGAACTGAAGATGATGGTGAGGGTAGGTTCTAAGAGGAATTATGACCAGGGACAGGACACAGGAGGGGCAAACAGCATCGAGATGCTGGTAGGGCAACACCACAAATGTTACTATTTCAGCTGTAGCTTCTTTCTCCATGGGTGACTGCCTGGTACTGGACTGGCTGGATGTAGAGAAAGCCAGGGGAGAGGGAGTTGTCAAGTGAGAGAGGCAGTATTTGAAGCATAGAACTCCATGTGACTTGGGTGGTTGATTTGGATTTGCTGAATAGATGAATCAGTGAATAAATCAGAGGCAATACAATGCGATGGTTAAAGTGAGACCCACTTGGTCCAAAATGTGGCTCTACCTCCTCTTAGTCCTCATAGCATCAGCCTTATGGGGTTGTTGAGGTGGCTAAGATAGTGCATGTCAATGATAAGGACAGGTGGAAGAGCCCTTAACATTTTTATAGACCATGGAAGTAGGAACTAATGGATGGAGGATTCTAAGCAGAAAGGTGATGTGGTCAGATTTATTTTGTAGGAAGATCCCTGAGACAGAGTCTGAATTCAGCTCTACCACTTAACTAGCTGTGTGATCATAAGCAAGTAACTCATCCTCTCTGTGCCTCAGCTTCCTAATCCCCAAATGTGGATAATAACAATACCTATCTAATATGGTCACCACAAGAATTGAATGAAGGAACTAAGAAAACTAGTAAACAGAGCTTAACAAGTGACAGCTATAATGATAATGGAAGGAGGGAGAAGAGGAAGAGAAGGACAGCAGGAGGATGAAGAAGAAGAGGGGGTAAGAGGAGATGACAATGATAATAATGATTAAGAGGCACAGTCACCAGGAGGTCACAGATGACAGTGATGCAGAGGAGCAGAGGGTGGTGCCAATCCCCAATCCCTGAGCATTTTCTATGTGAGGGAGGAGAGGTGATGTTAGGATGCAGCTGCGGGGAATGAGCACGGCTCCCTCCCGGCCTTCTCGGGATGAGAGGCATGCGTGAAGGAGCCGTGTCCACTGGAGACATCGGCCAAGGAAACAGTACCCCGGACACCTTGTCTCAGAGGTTGGGAAAGGAGACTGTGGGGCGGGGACCACAGATGCTGGCTCAGCAGAAGCCTCGTCAAGCAGAGGGAGGCCACAGTGTGTGCCAGCCTCACTGCCCTTTTTAGGGGCCCTGCACTGAGTCTTCCCTGCAGTGAGGTGGTGTCTATACTGAGCTCCTTCTGGGCAGAGCCCATGCTAAGGCTTTGTATCTGTCTCAGGCCTGGAACAGATTATAGGTTAGGTGCAGATGGACTGTCAATCCCCATCTTGGGCTGGGCCAATAAGGCCTCTGCGATATAGTGAGTCATAAGAAACGTATTTAGTCATTCATATGACCAAATATGTATTTCCCAGGTACATATGGTCTTCATCCACAGTTCCTGAAAACACTGCAGAGTCTTAAAGGTGAAATGGGTGTTTGGTCATGTTAATGAGAGACTTTTGGACCCCCGACCCAAGGGCGAGGGCTGGAGGTGAATCAGCCAGTGGCCAACAATTCAATCTTGACTATGCAATGTAGCCCTACAAAAACCCCTGAGAAGAACTTATTGCTGCCTCTTCTCTGCTCATATGGATCTTGCTTCTTGGTTGGGAGAATTTCTATGCTTGGGAAACCAGAACACCTCCACGTGCCACTGAGCCAGGCCCCAAGCTCCACAAGGATAGAAGCTCCTTTATTGGGGACCTTGCCCCATGTCTCTCTTCATCTGGCTGTTAACTTGTATCCTTTATTAAACTGGTAAAAGTGTTTCCCTGAGTTCTGAAAGCCTCTCTAGCAAATTAATCGAACCTAGAGGGGAGGTCGTGGGAAACTCCAATCTGTAGCCGGTAGGTCAGAAGCACAGGGAATGTGCCTGAGGCTTGAGCTTAGCGTGGGAAGTTGGGGGTGGAGGGCAGTCTTACAGGACGGAGCCCTTAACTTGGGAATCTGGTGCCACCTCCGGGCAGATAGCATCGGAACTATCCGGGCAGATAGCAGCAGATAGTTCTTGGACACCCTGCTGGTGTTCGAGAATTGCTTGGTGTCATGTGCAGGAAGACCCTTTCCCACATACTTACACACATTGGAATTGGGTCCGGGAACCCAAATGGAGTTAATTACTGCTGTGTATAATATTGTTACTGTTATATATATATATATATGTAGAAAAAGAATACACAAAATCATTTGGTGTCAGAGGAATGGGATTAACAGCCTCATATATGGAGACCTGGGAGCCCTGTTTGCCCCATAGATCTCCCAGAGTTAGCCTGCCCCAGCTGCCTTTCCCAGGAAGCCCCTCTGGGTGTCCATCTCTCCTCTGGGCCTCGCTTCTGACCCCTGCTTTTAGGTCAAGTCCTAGCTCAGGTCCTACAGCCTAGACAGACAAGCACCTTACTCTAGTGCATTTGGGCTTTTCTAACAGCAACAACACCAGTAACAATAATAATAAAATAATAAATAGCATTAATAATTGCCACACAAAGCCCTTTTTAAGTGCTAAGCACTATACCAGGTGCTTCTGTGTTTGGTCTGGTTTAATTTTTAAAACAATCCTGAAAGATGGGTAGTACTACTACTATTTTATAGATGAGACTAAATTTAAGGAGCTTAGGTAATTTGCCTAAAGTAATCCAGTTAGTAAGTGAGAGTCTAAATTTAAACCCAAGTCTTTATGACTCCACACTGCTTTATCCTCTTAAACCATGTTGTCTCTCTAAAATTCTGGGGCACAATTCTCCGAGCACAGATGTGGGGCCCCAGCCAGTCCTTCCCCACAGACTGTCTACATCTGGAACAACAGGCCTGTGTTGAGGTTGTGCAGGGGCCAACCCTGCCCTTCTCCTCTCCCCTCCCCTTGCTGGGCTGGAGCCACACTCATACCGACCCAGCCCTGGCCTCAGGGCCTTGCCGAATGACAAGTCTGAGGCTGCTCACAGTGAGGCCAGCTTCCCAGAGCATGAGGAATGTTCACTTTCCAGGAGTGAGGATGGGGGGCAGAAGGAGGAGGCAGCCAAGGGGATTGGACAGGTCCCCAGGGTCCCTGGGGCCCTGGGTTACCAGGCGTCCTGGGGCATGGTGGGGAGGCTGGCGGAGGCCGGAGGAATGGAGCCTGAGTGAGTGCGTGTGGAGCTCTGCCTCTCCCACGTCCTGCCCTCTGCAGGCCGCAGGGCTCCTCCCTCAGGACAGAGGATGGGCACCTGCGGCCTTCATCACACACCAGGGAGAATGCTCAGGCCAGAGCACCTACCATATGGCTTCACATCCTGGTTTTGGACTGTCTCTCCCACAAGAGCGTGAGACTCTGGGTCAGGAGCATGTTTACTCCATCTGCGGTCCCAGGGAGGAGGGCCGCGCTGGCACAGAGAACAGGGCCAGGTAGTGAGGACGCGCAGGCATGGAGGCAGACGGGCCTCTGAGAAGGACTTCACAAGAGCTGGAGGCCGCCCCTTCCCGCCATGGACTTACATACACCTCCATTTGCCTCCCGACCTCCGCCTGCCCATTCGGGAGTCCACTGGCGCTCTTCTGAGCTGCTCCAAGCACACATGGCCTGCTGGGAACAACTCCACCTAGCTTCTGGCTTGCCGAGGGCCCCTGGGGCCTGGGAGATAAAGGGCCTTTTGGTAACTTGTTTGGAGTTATCTGTGCTGCTGTCCAGTGAATCAGGGAACCAAATGGCCATAAATGGTGACAAGGAGAGCTCCCCTATGGATGAAGAAAGTACAGCCAGCCCTAGCATAGGCTGTCTGGTGGTGTTCAGTCTTCCTTTCACCCATCTTTCCCCGTTCTATCCCATCAGTATTCTAGGTACCAGGAAGTTACTTACAATGAGCAACTGCTCATATACTACGTGGCAGGCAGCAGCCATAGCTGAGGCCTAATACCTGTTCCAGCCCTGCCCAGCCAGGCCTTGGCTCCGGAACACAGAGCTGACTCCTGCCAGAATTCCACAGGTGAGCCTCCAGACAGGTGCAGAGAGCTCTCCAGCAGCCCAGAGGCCACATGGTTAGAAACATCACTGCAAGATCAGGACAAGCCTGTGAATGGGCACCAGGGAGGAGGAGGGTTGGAGAAGCAGCCTCTCCCACATTTACCTGGGTCTCAGTGCTAGATATTCCCTTTGGGGAGCCGAAGTAAAGCATAGGGTAGGTGATGCAAAGGCATTAGCCCTAGGCAGGGGCTGAAACCAGTACTAAAGAGGCTCCTTGGGTAGCCAAAAGGGCCTGGGCAGGCGCACTCTGGGTGCTGGGGTTGGTGAGGCCATGGGCATCAGGGTCTCTCCTCTGGCAGTTACTCTCAATGTCCAAATTATCTTTGCGTTCGGAGCCAGGGAAGGCTCATCAACTCCTCCCCATCTCTCTTTCCTTCCCACTCACCCCCACCAACACCGGAAAGGAGTTCTTATCAATACATGGCTGGTCCTAAGTTCCTGGGCATGGCCAGGCCAGACATCGGCATGGGTGAGCATGTGCCTGGGCACAGCCTACACGTCCTCATCACAACCACTCTCATTACCTTCGATTAGCCAGCAGCCAAGGCCAGGCCAGGCCAGGCCAGGCGGCGAGCTCCTCAGTCTTCTGGGAAAAGTGAGGCCCTGCTGCCTGCTTCCTGAGTGGCCTGAGTGCAGTGAGTCTTCTGACTCTAGTCCTTCCTAGACTAGGGAAGGGCTTTCTTCCTTTTCTTTTTTCTTTCCTTATTCCCTTGAATAAATTGTAAGAGCCTTGAAATTAACTGACCTTGGTATTCTTGGAAGAAACAGGTGATAACACTCACCTGGCCAGCCCTGGCCCCTTTGGCCTGGCTGCCTGATTTGGGCTGCCTGTGCTACCCCAGTCTGCCAGGCAGGAAGCAGGACCTGCTGTTTGAGCCAATCCAGATCATTTACGATGACTGGGCATTGAGGGGTGGAAACAGCAAATGGGATCAGGGCTCTGCCCTCTAGAAGCCCCTTTGACAGGTGTCCAAGAACAGAGGCAAGGATGTGCCAGGAGGGGGTGGGCAGGTGGGCCAGGGTGAGAAAGCAGCCCCAGGCTCCCTGGGATTTACCAAGGCAGACTCCATTTCCTCCCACTCTCCCTTAAAAGTGCCTACCTGTGATCCCAATTCTTTTGCCTTCAAAGCAGAGGGAAGGACTATAACGACACCAGGGTCTAAAAACTGGGCATGCTCTCTCAGCCCCCATTCCGCCTGGTTTGTGTGGGCAGTGGGCCTTCTTGCAGCTGGGGCTGGCTGAGACCCAGCCCGTTCCTCTCCCTTGGGGAGCTGGGCCAGACCCAGTGGCACCTGGCTGCCTCATTCCTCTTTGCTTGGAGGTGGGCTACCCTTCCCACTGTCCCACCTACCTGAATTTCTGGGCCTGACTTCTGTCTTCTCTCTTGCTTGCTACCTACTTGACACTGTCTGCACTTGGCCTTGCTTGGGAAAGGGCTGTGGAGTTAAACCAGACTGCACTGAGACCTCCATAGGCAGGTTAAGCTGTTCCCACCCCACCTTCTCCCCCAACTTTCCTGTAAACCTCCACAAAGAACAACTAGCTTTTCACTGGAGGCGGAGGCTGTCTGTTATCATCCTCCTCTGATCAGAGGCCTGGTATGGGATGATGAATGGTCTGAATTCTGCAGTGTTCTTCCCCTGGGGTGGCCAGTGAAAGCTGGTTAGGGAAGAGAGGGAATGGGTCTGGACAAGTTGACAGGTGTCCCTGTAGGCCTAGAGCTGAGACACAGAGGACTCAGGAGGGGGTCAGTGGGTGGTCCACTAAGGAACAATCTGACCCTATTTGGCAACATAAGCCCCCTAAAGAAATGGGCCCAGACCCTGTCTGCCTAGAACAACGAGTACAGAATCTGATCATTCCCAGAGTGGAAGCAGACTCAGTGGCAGGTTGGAGACCCAACTGCAGGTCAGCAGTAAAAGTACAAAGTGGAGAGAGGCCAGGACTTATGAATTTGGGACTGGCCCCCTCAAACTCACTGAGAGGTCTGCTGTCCTTGCAGAGTGGCCTAGGGTCCAAACAAAGCCTTCCTCCCCTGAGGATGGGGCTGGATCCACATGATCACAGTCAGAGAGACTTTACACAGGTCGAGAGGGGCTTGGGGGGGCAACTGCAAAGTTAGAGCAGGAGGGCAGGAAGATCAGGAGCAACACGGGGCCTCAGCCAGACAACAGCGTTCCTTACAGGGGGTCCTAAGTTGGGAAGGGCCTTGGGGTCTGGCTGCAGAAGGCTGAGAAAAACCAGCAGCCTGGGCATCTAGAGGTGGGTGGCAAATACCAGGCATATCAGCTGCAGGGGTCTGGGCCAGTGACCCTTGGCATCTCCTGACCTTGTGACCCTTGGTTGCATCTGGGAGTCTTTCAGCTTTGGGTTAGTAATGCTCCTTTTGAAAGGTTCTTACTTATCTTTGCTGGGTTCATGGAAGGGCCTGACTTGGAAGCTGGGCAAGGCCAGGGCAGGAGGGGAAGGAGCTGGCGCACAGGGAGCTCACCACTCTCTCCTTGTGGACGATGTACTTCAACCACTTGAAGTCCTGCCACTTGAAGCCAGCGAGAACAAACAGAGAATCACGCTCGTATTGCTCAGGCCGCTGCATGGCGCCCTCAGGGTAGGTGATGCGCAGCGTGGTCTTGCTGCCCACGTCCTTCTCAAAGCCTTTCACTGGTGCTGAGTTCAGTCTATGAAGAGTGGGCCCGGTCAGAGCCTGCCTTGGTCTCATCGTGAGTGGTCTGTGGGCCTGTTTGAAGGCACCATGACCCCAGAACACCCAAGGTGTCGATAATGGGGAGCCTAGGTCACCTGGTGCCACCTAGCTTTCTGTTCCAGAGCCCTCTAACCCAGGGTTCTTCTTGAGGCTTCTGCTGACCTCCAGCCCAACTGACCAGATGGATAGACAGTTCTCACTGGGCTCAGGGACCAGGATTTGGGCCAGGACACACAGGTGCCCAAGCACTGCTTTGGGGAGCTCACCTGACCACAATGTCATAGTCATCAATTCTTGACCCCAGAGACTTGTTGGCGAGGACACCTCCATTGCCCATGATGATGCAGCGGCGGCAGCTGAGGCTGAGGGGAGAGAGGCACGGTCGTCTGGGGGGCTGTCTACTGGGCCTCCTTCTCCCCTGCCCCTTCAGCCCTTGACCCCATGCTCTTGGCCGGGCACAGGCTGGGACAGGAAGACCAATGGGCTTCTGGCAGCATTTCTGAGAGGAGGCCAGACCATACTGCAGGGAGCTGGCCACTTGGGGGTTTCAGACACCCCGAGACACTGACACTTCTCTAGGACAATGTGGGTAGGGAGAGGGCTCTGGGGCAGTGAGGAAGGAGGCTCTGGTAAGATGGCATTCTGCATTAAAGACTCCCCAAGCTTTAGTGTAGGGTTTGGGCAGGAGAGAGGAGAAAGTGAGCTAAGCTTGAGGGCTATACCAGAAAAGCCATAAGTGAGGAATGGGTTGGGAGGTTCCAGCACTTAAGGCTGGGTTCCCATGCTTCCAGGAGCCATCAGGAACCCCACTCATTTTGCTTCTCCTCCCTCTGACCCTGGGGCTTCCCCGCTCCAGGGCCTAGTGGCTACAGAACTGTCACTGCCTTGTGGACTTAAGCGCTGGCCCCTTCCACTGCCCCACCCTGCAGCCCCTCAGTCTCAGTGTCTTCAGTTCTCACCCTCAGACCTGGTATCTGAGGACCGAGATGTCTTGCCAGGGCTTAGAGCCCCCAGAGTGTAAGCCCAGCTGGATGGCTCTGTTTATCTGCTCACCCACCCATGTGTGTACTGTGTGTGCAGATGTGGATATGCTGGGGCATCTGCTCATGTCCAGGCCAGGCCAGCTAGGCCTCAACACCTCATACATGCTGGGACCATGGGGAGCCGAGGGGCAGGAGGCTGGGCAATGAATGGCTCACCTGTCCAAGGCAGGGGTCAGGCGGTACTCTTTGGTGACTGACAAGATGGCTTTGATCAGATTGTCTGTGGACAGAGGAGGGAGGTTACCATTAGAGGGTCAACTGAGTTCCCATGAAATGTTTGTCAATGAGCTGATTTGAAGGTACACATGAGCTGGGGCTGAAGTGGACATAGGTCAGCTGGGCCACTAGCCTCACTTCCTCCCTGAGAAAGGAGATGTTGGTAGGAGATCAGGTAGGCACTCAGCTCTGCCTGGGTCAGTCCCCAGCGCTGGCATGCAGCTGCTCCCCAAGGGCTTTCCTGCCCTTCCTTGGGAGTCTCATCTAGCTTTCAGAGGCTCTGCAATCATTCCCCCAGGACATGCATCCCCAGGTCAGGATTTGCCCAGAATGGGAGTAACTGCTCAGAGACAGAGACCCCACTGTGTTTACCTCCTGGCCCAACAGAGCAGACATTAGAGAGCAAATGAGGAGACGACCAATGATGAAGAGCTAGAGTGGTCCCAGCCAGATCCCCACTCAGACCACTCTGCTTTACTTTCTGATTCCATCTTCCCCTGACTTCCACCTCCTAACACTGCCAGTCTCTAATCCTGTTCTTGCCAGGCTGTCTCTACCTTCTACTTCTTTGGCTCCTGTGGGCTGACACCTGCCCACCTGTACTCCACTCAGGCTGCCCTCAGCAAGGGCCCCATGACCTCTTAGATCCTGTGATCACTGTTCAGATCTCATTCTTCCTGGCCTCTCTCTGACTTTGGCAATGATGATTTCCCTACTTTCAAACTCTGGTATAATGAGAACATTATAACATAATGTATAATGATGGTATTGGCATTGGAGTCAAATCCTGGCTCTGTTACTTAAGAGTTCTGTGACCTTAGATAAGTCACTTACTTTCTTTGTGCCTTGTTTCCTCATCTTTCAAATGAAGATTGTAATTCCTACTCTGCAGAGTTGTCAGGGAGATAAAAAAAGATAATATATGTAAAGATGTAAAGATTAAGTAAATTGGTACAGCCACAATGGAAGCATCTTAATAATATCAAGTAAAGATGTAGATGTGCATAGACTAAGACCTTACAACTCTCCTCCTAGGTGTACAGCATCCAAACACTCACATGTGTTTAAGGGGACTTGGATAAGAATGTTCATTGCAGAACTGTTTTTAATAGCAAAACATTGGAGGCAACTTAAATGTCCACCAAGGGAAAATAGATGAAATGTGAACATGGAATACTACACAGCAGTAAAAAAAGAAAAAAAATCAATGATCTAGAGCTATCTGTGTACCAATACATATAAATCTAAAAAGCATAAGCAAGAAAATCAATTTGAAAACTACACACACACATACACACACACGATACCATTTGTAAAGTTTAAAAACATGCAAAAACAATGCTATATTTTCAGGGGCTATGAAATAGAAATAAGTATGTCATAGAAATATATAAATAGGCATTGGGATAATAATACCAAAACTAGAATGGTCTCCTGAGGAGGGAGGGGAATGGAGTGAGAAGGCCCACATAGGGCTTTAATTTAATCTTGTGTTTTCCTTCTTAAGCTGGGTAGAAAGTGCATGGGTGCTCATTATATTAGTTTTTGTGCTTTTTTTATATGCCTGAAATATCTCATGTAAAGAAAGGATACCTCCAAACTTCAAAGTAACATAATTTTTTTAAAAAAATGGGGTGGACAACACTGTCAGATGCAGCCAAGAGGTCAAGGTAAGGACTGAGAAGTATCCTCTGGATTTCATGAGGGCACTGAGCGGTTTCACTGGTATGGTGGAGGGAGATGTTCTCAAGAGTAAATGGTGAGAAAGAGACCACAGGCATAGCTACTCTTTGTACAAGTTAAATGAGAACAGGGTACGGAAACAAGCCTTTAAAGAATGTTCTATACTAAATGTCCTGAGATATACCTTATAGTGGGCTTCAGAGAAGGCCACCTTTTCTCACCTCTGATTTTACCTCTGTGGAAAAACATATTGCTACCAATTGGCCAAGGTCAAGGATATGGGTTTGGCATTTTTTTTATAGAAGGGAAACCTTAGCTAAAAGGACATAAACTAGGGGCTGCTGTGTTCTTGCTGGCCAATGGGCTGTGTATCAGCCTTTCCCAGCCTCTTTGTGGCTTAGTAGGATCTGAGTCTTGAGAGGATTTAGGAGAAAAAAATAGGCTGCTTGGCTACGTGCACCCAGGAAAGAAAGAGTTGTTCATACACTTCAGTCCGACCCATTAGATTTGTCTGTGGAGGTCTGTCAGAGCCCCAGCTCAGGAGTGCCCTTTTACTGGCCACTGTCTTCTTTTCGGGGAGGGTGGGCTGATTGAGTAGAGGGTTCAGGTATTCGAGTTCCCGAGCCAAATGATATCACCCCTTTCCAGGTATCCTATTTAATTCTGACTACGACCTAATATTGGTATTATTCTATCCATTTAACTGATGAAGAAACTAAAGCACAGACAGGTTAAGTAACTTGTCAAGATTACAGCTAGTAAGGAGATCTGACTGTTCAGTGGCTGAACCTAAAGCCCAAACTCTACCATACCACAAAATAGTGCAAGACCTTGACAAGGAAGCAGAACTATTTAACTATCAAGGGTGGGAAAGTCTTAAGTTAGGAGGGACCTTCAAGGCTGAGCAGTGGCAGGGATAGTTTTGAGGGTATAGGGTGAAAAGGTTAGCCTCAGACAGGATTAAAAAAGGCCTGGAGGGGAGACTTAGTTAAGGTACAACACAGCAGGAGGGGATGAGAGAGGAGTCCAGGGCATTCATGCAGGGTGCCTCTTCTAAGGGATCCCCATGCCTAGTCCTGTAGCAGCTGGCTCTGGAACCCTCTTCTGCAACCCCACAGCACTGTGCTCTTCCCTCACCAGTGCCTTACAGTCCCGTGTGCTGAGTGTCTGGCTCTAAGAGCAGAGCTTTTGGAGGAGAGGGACCACATGTGTCCACCCCATTCTTGTACACCCAACTCTGGCAAAGTGGTGGTATCCAAGTAAATATTCAATGGTAGAAGTAAGACAAAGGAAGGGAAAGATGGAGAGAAGGCAGGGCATTGTTAAGAGTGGGGAAAAGTAGGTGGAGGCCTAGCATAGGGACTTCAGAGTGTACAGTCCTGTCCTGAAGTGTAGGAAAGCTGGAGGATGAAATGTTAACGTAGAGTGGGTCAGGGTTCCCAGCGTACCTTGACCTTTGATCCCAAAAGGCGGCACAAATTCCCGGATCCTGGCCCACTTGCGGAAGGAGTCATCCAGGAACATGGGTGCTGGCTTGGAGAACCTGGAATACAACAGGGATGTTGAGGATCCTAAAATGCAACTGGCTGGAATACTGGCTGGCTCTTCTGTACATCTGTCTTGGCTATGGATCTGCTGGAAGCCATCTTCCACATTCCAGCACACCCTCCCTACCCCAGCCTGCTCAGCCATCTTCCACATTCCAGCACACCCTCCCTACCGCAGCCTGCTCATGGGTAGCTGCTGTGTGAGGTCAGATCTTGTTCAGTGGAGCCTGAGTTTGAAGGAGTATGCCTAGCCAATCCTTATGTGGCCAGCTGGAGGAGTAGAGAGAGAAGATCCACTCAGCAGGGATCAGTAATTCAGAGCTGGAGGCTCTCTGGCAAGTTTTCCAGCATGCATCCATCAAATAGTCACTGCTGCCTACACTGTTCTGCAGTCTGGGAACATGGAGATGAGCCACTGTCCAGCTGAGCAGAAAAATACCCCAAAGTGCAGCTAGGGCAGGGAGACCGAATTCCAGAGGGAAATCTGGGAGGTGGACCCCCAGGGCGAGGAGGAAGGAGAATCCAGGATGGGAGGGCAAAGCAGGTGAATAGTCATGGGGGACAAAGGTTTGGCCGAGAAGGGAAATCCCAGAATCCTGTGGCTGGGAGGCGGGGCTGACCGGAGGCGAGCAGAAGCCTGAGCACATCTGTTGGCAGAGAGGAGGACAGAGGGAACTTTCACTCCTCAGGGCCATCTGGGCCTTAAGGAAAGGTGGGAGGGAAAGATGGCAAGAAGGAAGGATGAGGTGATGCTGAGTTGAGAAGGGACGAGACCAGTTTCCCTTTTCTGGTGAAAGCCGAGGAGTGTGCCAGGGCAGAGTGCAGGCTTGGGCAGAGGGGTGCAGAAGGGAGTGAGCACAGGAGGAACCATGCTCTTCAAAGATGGTTGGACAACAGGACTTCACTGGAACTCTGGTTTTGAGACCTTTTTCAGGGCACCTGGCAGCACAAAGATGGCCAGCACCCGGTTACTTGTTGTGTGCTATCTTGCTATAGTGCCTGCTTAGGGCCTTCCTGGCCAAGAATGAATGTGCGGGTGCCTAGGCCTTGGTAGCTCTCTTTACTTCTAACTCTACCTGAATCAGCCACTGAAAAAAACTGAAGACTGGAGGAGAGGCCCTCCAACCCCAGGAGCTAGAATTCAACCCCTCCTAATGGACTCTAACTCAAGCATACCTTTCTAATTCCTGTCATCACTTACACCACTATAATCACTATACCCGGGAGGAAAAATATCAGTAATCACTTTGAGGTCTAATATTATTAGAGATGTTGAAGTGAACTTGAAAGAGGTGGAAAGCTTTCAATCTTGTTCCCTCCCCCATTACTTGCTGCTGGAAGAAGCTGTCAACACTGGAGAGCATGGAAGGCTGCGCTTCTATAGCAGCTTTCCATTGGACTTCTTGTTAGCACACTTCCCTCTGTGTGCAAGGGTCATGCATGTTTCTCATGCTTGCTATGTAAAATCTACGTGAATTAATATATTTGATGGTTTACTGGAGGCACTGAGAATCCTGGCCATAGTCTGTGTGTAACAGCAAAGGAAACAAAAATCCTGGATAAGCCTGCAGCAAGAACCTCTCCTTCTGTGTCAGAACCGCGCTTATAAAATTTTTGCAGTTCTCTCAGTCAGGCTCAGACAGGATTTTATCTGCTTCCCAATATGAACTGGATGTCATATGGTAATAAAAAATCTCCTAAGATCTAGCCAAACAGTCTCAAAAGTCTTTCCTTTTCTTCTTTTCAGATGATTATAAAGTTCATTATGTTAATTTTTATTTCTTGAAAAAAAAAAAGCAAACATTTTTGGTGTTGCTTGTAATATGTGTTAGTTTTGGAAAAAACAGAGATAGGTGCACACACACACACACACACACACACACACATATAAATAAAAGATACCCATAATCCTACAATGTAGAGACAACTGTCCTTTTGGTACATATTCATACTGATTTTCCTTTACCCATACTATGTTTTAGACTGCTCTGTAGACTATTTTTTTACTTTATAATATTATGAAAACGTTGCTATGCAAATGGATGCAATTTTCTCCCATGACACAGAGAATGGGTCAAACAGCAAAAACTGTAAGCTGCTGGTACCCTGACACAAGTCGACCCCCAAAAAATCAAACGTATGAGCAAAATACACAAATGAAAATATGATCTAAAAAGTAGGAGTTGCAGCATCAGTGTTTTGGACTGAATGTTTGTGACCCCTCCTATTTGTATGTTGAAATTTAATCCCCAAAGTGATGGTATCTGGAGGTGGGCCTTCCTATGGGAGGTGATTAGGTCAGAAGTGGGATTAGTGCCCTTGTAAGAAGAGGCTAGAGAGCTAACTAGCTCTCTTCCTGCCATATGAGAATACACGAAGTTGGCCATCTGCAAGACAGAGGACCATCCACCATGACCTGAATTCCAGCTTCCAGAACAGTGAGAAATACATTTCAATTGTTGGTTAGCCACCTAATTTATGGTATTTTGTTAGAGCAGCCAGAGCTAAGACAATAATTAATAGCCAAAAATAATTCATGGAAGAGGTCATGGCAGAAACCCTTAAATGGGCCTGATAAGGATTTCTTAAAAACATAGTGTTAACTGTAGTGTATAACCTATTTCTTGTTTTTATTTTCTGTTTTTAAACATTTTTCCATTTCACCTCATTCTCCTAATGGGTCTTCATGTTTTAGATGCTTATTTTGTAGACCCTCTATACTCCCTGAAAAGACTGTGCCAGCCCTCTTCTAACATTTCTTTCTGTAAAATGGGTGCCCCTTGGTGCAAATGGTACCTTTTTTTCTCCTGTGTATATATATATTTTTTTATTTTTTAAGGGGAAAGCGTGAACGCAGTCCCCCACCACCAGAAATGATGCAGCCGAGTTTCCCACATTTGGGGAAATTGCAGGGGTCAGCACATCCAGAGTGCAATGGATAAGCCTCGCCCTGGGAAAACCACCTTCATGATCATGGTATTTCCCCTGCCAGGTAAGTATCTGTGTATATATTTTTAAAACTTTTTAATAGGGAAAATTTCAAACATGTACCAAAATTGGAAACAAATAGTACAGTGAACCCCCCATGGCCCCCATTTCTCAGATTCAGCAATTCTCAATCATGGTCAATTTTGTTTCTTTTATACCCCATCCATTTTCTTTCTGTATTATTTTTTGAAAATCGCAGAAATGACCATTTCATCCATAAAATACTTAAAAATTAATTTCTACAAGATAAGGGCATCTTAAAAAACATAATCACACCTGAACGACTCCTCTTAAAGCCAATACCACACCTAAAAAGCTGACTCTAATTTCTTAGTAGCAGTAAAATATCCAGTCAGTTTTCAGATTTCTCCTGCTTGTTAATGTCTGTTGTTGTTGTTTAATAGTTGGCTTGTTTAGATCAAAATAAAAACAAGAATTGGCATATTTCTGTCTCCCTTAATCAATAGGTTTCCTCCTCTCTTATTTCCACTTTGGCCTTTTCATCTTGGCCCCTGGATCCTTTTGACACTCCCCAGGGATCATAGATAATGTCCTTGCTTTCTGGTACATGAAGATGTTCCAGGCTTGTCTTGTGCATTTCTTGCCTCCGCCTGGAATCAGTCATTTTCCCAGGGAACGCTGGTTCCTCTCCACTGGAAATGGTATCTAGAGACCACCATCTGAGGGCTGGGGGTGCTCATGCCACGATGTGCTAGTCACCGTTTCCAGGCCTTTTCACAGACACAAAGCTAGAAAGTAGGTTTTGCATTTGCATTCCCAATTCAAATTCAGGATTGCAAGATTTGCATTTACCTTCTTTTTCTTTCTTTAATAGTTTTATTGAGATATCATCCACAAACCATAAAAGTCATTATTTACTTAAGTTCCTTGATTTTATATTTGAATCTCTTTTCTCTTAAGCAGACATCCTTGTTTATGGTGGTATTAACACAAGTACTTATTTGCTTTCTCTTTATAGATATACAAAATATATATAATAGTTTCACAATAGCATTATTAATGCTATCATTACTAAGAACTTGTTAGTTTCTTTACAGTTCTTTTTGCCTCAGGTTCAGGGTACACCCCACTAGAGAAGTGCAGACAAATCACTCTGCTTTTGCCACCTGAAGTAATAGTGCTGTGCTGAAATTCAATGATACACAGTTAGGTTCACTTGTTTCATTTTGCTTTTGCTTTTCAGAGACTTCTTATCCTTCATTTAATTTAACTTTCTTTGTTTCTTGATATAAAACTTCATGTAGTTCCAAAATTAAATTCACAAAACAACATATACTCAGAGGAGTCTTTTATCTCTGTGTTTGACTCCTGTTACTTCTGTTCTAATTAAATAGTATTCATTATTAGTAGTTTTTGTTTTATCCTTCATTTTTTTTATGTAAGCAAATGTATAATACATATGTGTGCATGTGTGTGTATATTCCTATTCCCTTCTTTACTCAATAAAAAAGTAACATACTAAGTATGCTGTTTTGCCTACTGATTTTTTTCACTCTACAGTGTGAAATCACTCCATAGTATATAGAATATGTACTTAATACTCCTTTATGGTTATGTACCATGTATTAGTCAATCAGTCCCCTGGGTTGTTTCCAATCTTTTATAAAGTTGTAATGGTTCCACTTAATGGTGGTTACAGTGAATAACCTCATGCATACATCTTTTCTATTTGCATATGTATCTTTGGAATAGGTTCTGTAAGTGGATTTGTTAGGTCAAAGGGAAAACACATATGTAATTTTCTTCACATTGCCCAATTCCCCTCCATAGGGATTGTACCATTTTGTAAAACCCACCAGAAACATTTGAAAATGCCATTTCCCCCACAGCCTCACAGAATACAGTCAAACATTGTAATTTTGCCAGTCTGATAGGAGAGAAAAATCAGTGTTGTCTTAATTTCCATTTCTTTCATTGTAAGTGGACTTGAATGTTGTTTTATATACGGAAGGGCCATTTGCAGTTATTTTTCTGTGAACTTTGTTTA